ATTACATCATTGACTAATACATATGCATCAAGGATTGCTACATCAGTCTATTACGACATCAGCCTCCTTTGCGCTTGCGCAGCCCCCTCTGGTGGTCGCTCTGATGAAGTAAGGAGTCTTCCTCAGATGAAGTAAGAAGTCTTCCTCAGGTTGTCCTCTTCACCTTTTCTCTACTTGGCTAGGTCCCAATTGTCTTTGGACGTTAGCATTCTCTTATCTTCACCAGGATGCTTCTGGTATGCCCTTTTTGGCTATCTTAAACTTAGGTTCTGCTTGGGTAGAGTTTTACAATACATACACCCATACTCCCCTCACCACATACAGTTATGTTAGCTCTTGCTACCAAGACTACCATTGTAACATTTAGTTACAGAGTAACTATGATACAAAACGGCAAAGTTACGACGTGTCTCCTAATATACAAAGCCTCACTATTGATTTATAAATTTCTCAAATATAATCATTTTACTATTTTATATGATTATTTTATTGTAAAAACTTCACCCTCTCTAACATTTCCCCCCTTTGAAAATACTTCATTTAACTTAAGCAAGTATTTTCATTCTCTTAGGTAGCTGTCTCCTGATAGGTAGGTGGAGGTGTGGGGTACTTTGGATGTTCCCTAGTTACTGCTCCTATGATTCGATGAGTCCATGCACTGTTGCGAGTCATTTCCCTTTATAAGTGTCGGTCCCATCGGAATGGTTTCCGTGAACTTGCAGGTCAGAATGGCATCTTGTTTTGTCAAACCATTTTTCTGAGAAATTCCTAAGATAGGACTAAATGTCAGTTGTGTTAATGACCAAATGACAATCAAAGTTTTGTAACAAAACCCAGACATCTTATTTACATTTCAGCTTCAGTTTCGTAGGGCCTAGTATCTGTGTTTCCCAGACTTTTGGAACTCTTTTTACCCGCGTATAATGTATCCAAGAATCCACCCCTTCTACCTTTACTGCAGTGAACATTGTTAATAGTACTTGATGAGGTCCATCCCACCGTTCTTTTAATGGTTCCTCATTCCAATTTCGGATGTATACTTGGTCTCCTGGCTGAATGTCATGCACTGGATTTTCCAAGGATAATGGCCTGTTCCACACCAGGATGCTTCTCAGTCTGGTTAGGGTTTTACCTAGAGATAGCACATAATTGTAAACATCCTGATTCCCTTTAATGTGGGTATTGGGATTAGGCTCTGGTGCCTCATATGGTTTTCCATAGAGGATTTCATAGGGGCTTACTGACATTCCACTTCTAGGTTTTATTCTGATTCGCAACAAGGCTATGGGCAGTGCCTGTGGTCACTTTATTTTGGCCTCTTGGCATATTTTACTGATTTACCTTTTTATTGTCTGATTCATCTTTTCCACCTGCCCACTAGATTGAGGTCTGCAGGGAGTATGTAGATTCCATGATATTCCTAGCAGTTTACTTATCTCCTGTACTATTGTTGCGATAAAGTGTGGGCCTCTGTCTGATGATATTTCTAAAGGAACACCAAATCGTGGAATAATTTCTCTGAGCAACCACTTTACTGTCTCTTTTGCCTGATTGGTGCGACAGGGAAGGGCCTCCAGCCATCCAGAAAAGGTGTCAACCCCTACTAATAAGTATTTGTACCCTTGTGTCTTTGGTAATTCCACAAAATCAATTTGCCAATAGTCTCCTGGTTCCATCCCTATTCTGATCCTTCCCATTTCAACCTGTTTCCTTACTATTGGGTTATTTTTCAAACAAATTTCACATTTTGACCCTACTGATTTTGCCGTGGTTAACATCTGTGTGGAAATTATTCCTCGCTTTAAATAAGTCACCAATGCTTCTGCACCCCAATGACATTTCTGATGTTCAATCTGTAGAATTTTTTGCATTATAGCTGGTGGCACTATTATTTGTCCAGTTACTGTTACATACCATCCTTCAGAATTCTTTTGAGCCTTTAAAAGTCCTGCCAATTTCTCATCTTCCTTTGAATAGTTTGGATCTTGTGAGAGATAGGTATGGAGTGGGCTTACCTTGAGAGGTATCAGTGCCATCATATTCCATACCTTCTGGGCCACCTGTCGAGCTGTCCGGTCTGCCAATGTATTTCCTTCAGATATCTTTGAAGTTTCTCCTTGATGCGCTTTGCAATGCATGATGGCCATCTGTTTAGGCTTTTGCACAGCAATTATTAATTCCAAAATTTCTTTTTGATATTTTATATTAGTCCCTTGAGAAGATAGAAGCCCTCGTTCTTTCCATAATGTTCCATGTATATGTACTACGCTGAACGCGTACTTTGAATCTGTCCAGATATTTACCTTTTTGTTGTTACTCAGTTCCAGTGCTCTCATAAGAGCTATGAGTTCAGCCCATTGTGCTGATTTTCCAGGAGGTAGCGCTTTTGCTTCAATTATCTTTTGCTGTGTTGTTAGCATATCCTGCATATCCTGTTCCATTTTCCACAAAGTTGCTGCAATCTGTGAAAAGTTCCCAGTCAGGTTGTTCAAGAGGTTCATCCTTTAAATCTGTTCTAGTTGCATATGTATGCTCGATGACCTCTCTACAGTTGTGTTCAAGCATCCCTCCTTCTAGGTCCGTTCCTAGAAAGGCTGCTGGATTTAACAGGTTAGTAGTCTTTAAGCTTACATCATCTTGTTCTGTTAAAATTGCTTGATATTTCATCATCCTGCTAGGGGATAACCAGTGCCCCCCTTTTTGTTCCAAGACGATTGTCACCATATGTGGCACAAACACTTCCATGTGTTTTCCCAAAGTCAGTTTTCTGGCCTCCTGTATTAGAACAATAGTCGCTGCTACTGCTCTCAAACATGGAGGCCATCCCGTGCTTACCGGGTCCAGCTGTTTTGAGAAATATCCTACTGGTCTCTTCCAGCTCCCAAGTTTCTGAGTTAACACTCCCAGCGCTAATCTCTGTCTCTCATGGACGAATAACTGAAAGTCCTTTGTCAGATCTGGGAGTCCCAAAGCCGGAGATTTCATTAACGCCTCTTTCAGTTTCTTAAAGGCCTCTTTCTGTGGTTTATTCCAAACAAAAACAGGTGATTTTTTGGCCTCGTACAGGGGTTTAGCAGTGAGTCCATAGTCCATTGTCCATAATCTGCACCACCCTGCCATACCCAAAAATGTTCCTAACTCATGTAGGTTCCACGGTTCTGGAATGGCACAAATTGCCTCTATGCGGTTTATTCCCAGCTTTCACTGCCCTGGTGAAATTTCACATCCTAAGTACAACACAGTTGTGCATGCAATTTGTGCCTTTTCTTTTGAGACCTTATACCCGTTCAGGCCTAGTTGGTTTAAGATTTCAATAGTCACCTTTATGCATAACGATTTTTGTTCTGTTGCAATAAAGATGTCATCTACGTATTGCAATAAGAGATATTGTGATCTCAGGATCTGTTCTAACTGCACATGGCTTCAGTGGGGCAGACTGAAGGAGGGAGGGAGTCCTGGGCAACAGAGTGTACAGAGTAGGTCCTGCTGCCCGTGTGCTGCTTGCCATCTCATTTTCAGATGGGACTTTGAAGTACAAGGAGCTTGTGGCTTTGCTCCCGCACAAAAGAGTGGCAAAAAACAAGTGGGGAGGAAAACAGCTGCTCTTTTTAAGAGATATACCTGTGTTCTTACTTTTGCAATGGGGATTTTTTTAAAAAAACATCCTAATCTGCCCAGTTTGGAAGACAAAACTGAGCTTGGCTCTCTCACAGGTAGGTCATTATGGGTTCTGCCACCATGGTCACCGAAGTGTGGAAAAGAAACTGCTCATTTGTCTGCAACTGTGATGTCTTGTCTATGGGGGCTCTGGTAGCCAACAACCCAGATATAAAGATACATGAAGGGCAACATTTGTAATGTTTTTCCCCAGCCATATTTGCATTTTGAAAAATGGTGTGTTCAGGGAATGCTGTGATGCTGAGATGGTTCTAGTGCAAGCGGTTAACCTGGAAGAATAATGTGAGGAACTTTGGGGCCCACTTCCAGTGTTTTCAGTTAAGATCTACCCCAGTGGTGGGCTCAGGAGTGGGTGTGCAGAAACACTGACAGGTACATGCCAGGGCAGTACCCCAGACAGGAAATGACAAGGGAACTTTTGGCTTCCTTTACAGCGGAGCAAGTCTATTTCCTGCACAGGGCATGGTGCAGAAGCATCTGCATGTGTAGACACAGATCACTACGGTCCAGCTGTGAGGCTGTGCAGCTCTGCTACTTCTACCCTTCCTACAGCCAGTAGAGGACATGCCCAGCTGAACACAGCCACTGTCCTCACTGCTTTCTGCCTGCTCCAGATGTGCGGCTTCCAGGAGACTCATTCCTTGGCAGCTGTTGAACGAAAGGTGTGACTAAAGGGACAGCATGATGTTATTTGTTTTATGCCATGGCAGGGGGGTTGGAACTAGATGATCTTTAAGGTCCCTTCCAACCCAGTCCAGTCTGTGGTTCTATGCCCTCTTTACCAGCATTGTGTTTCTCAGCATTGTACAGGTTGGAGGTGTCTGTGTTTTATTTTATGCACCAGCAGTTAAGCTTTAGCTCATGTTGCAAATACACAATTGCCGTACATGGGAAGCAGGAAAATAATGATTTATTGTTTGAAACAGCAGTCAAAAACTATGATCAGAAAAAAAAAAAAAAGACCAGGAAAGATTGCAGTGATATCTAATCATGTGTAAACACAGGTGAAGCCATATCTTGGCACAGATGACGTGTTTAAAACCAAATTCTAAACAAAGAGAAGTGCCAGTGGCCCCAGTGCAGGGCAAATGGGAAATACATTGCTTGCTCCAGGATGCAAATGCCAGAGCTCCCAAAGGTCCAAAAAGTCTTTAAAAATAAGTATGAATAAAAACCTCTCCAGGCTGCTCCGTATCTTGCTGGAGGAACATCCAAGGAAAGAGGGCAAGAGGAATGAGAGAGGGGAGTGCTCTGCCTGGGGCCAGGCTCCTGGGCTGGGCACCCTCTAGCCCTCTCTAAGAGAGAGTGTTGGGCACCTGCCTGGGCAGCGTGCTCCCCCAGCTATCGGGTCCTGTTCACACCACTCCACTAAATACATGAGTGATTTAAGACCAGTTACTGGCTCTGAGCAGTGAGAAAGCTGCTTATCAGCTCTCCCAGCTGCTGCCTGCAGTAAAGGTGGTATTTCTGTACCTCTGAATCACCTTTGGAGGCAAACAATGTCTCTACCAATCTTTGTGCTGCTGGTAATGTGCATGGAAGGGATGAGTTGACCCAAGTACTCTTGTGCTCTTCTGCCTGTGTCACTCACTGGCAGGTATTACAGACCAGTATTTTGGTAGGAGCCAGGTGGCCAGAATTGTCAGTATAAGGAGTAACGGCCTTAAAGCAATAATGACGATGCAGTACTCATCACATGGAGATCTGTCCCACTCTGGATACCACTTGGAATCACCTATGGACAAAACAAGTTACATGTTTTCAAGTATAACTGTACCAAGGACAACATTTAAAAGTAGTAACTCTGGTGGTACTTACTAATGACTTTGTCACGCTCTGCATTTCCTGGAGAGAGAAAAGAAGTGAACATAAGCAAACATACACATTAAAACCAATTTGAGCCTAAACAGGCAATGAAATGTGAACATCAGGATGGCCTCACAAAACAGTTATGGGAGCTGTGCTTATTTCCAGGAAGAAGCAAAAACCCAGTGACTTTGTGAGAGCCTGCAATGCCTTCCAGGCTTTGCTGAGGAGCACTTGATCACACTATGCTGACTTCTCCCACCACTGTCTGGCCTAGAGAAGACTCACTCCCCAGGGCGTGCTTCCCAGGATCCCTGCCTTTTGCCCAGTGCCTTATATGTAAGATCCTCAACCTGCAGCTAACCTTCAACAGCCCCATGTGTCAGAGACTCCCCCTCATTCCTGCAGTGCTGGTGTTTTAACGTCACCTTCCCACTCTGTTAGTTCATCCAAGGTCAACTACTAGGAAATGTGTGACTCGAACCTACCCTCGGCTCTCCCCATCAGATGTCCACAGCACAGTGCCTTGTCCTTGTGGGTATTACAGAAGGTCTTCTCCCCTCCCGACTCCATCCAGCCATTGCAGAGCCAAGTTGTTGAGATTCAGGTGGGCTGCTAGGGACACAGGCTGAGCACCGTGTCCCCATGAAGGGCATGTCAGCCTGGCTCTCTCCTGGTGCTTAGGGGAAAGCAGATGGCCAGCCTGATGTTCACTGGAGCGAGCAGCTTTGCCAGTGCCATAGCAGCTCTCCCCTCCCACAGTGGCACAGCAAGGAAAGGCTTGCCTGGACTTGCACCAGCTCAAGCACCACATAATAACCTGGAGCCTGTAGGAGGGGATGTGTACCCCCTTCTGTGCTTCCCATTTCTGCAGGCAGTAACTTTTTGCAGAGTAATAACATCTTAAACTGCAGCTACTCTATCTCCTGCACCCAAAAAGCATACCCCATCCTGTCACTCCCTGGGGTAGAAAAGAGGCTCTTGCCAGCGTTCTCCCCTCTCTTTGTGCATCACTGCTCACTTGGCTTCTGACTGCAGTTTTCCAGGCTATCTTTAGGATCAAGAGGGCACTGTGCCTGCCTCCTGCCAGTATCTTTTTGTGTGCTCTTTCCCTTTCTACGTGTGCTTGGGGAGGAGGGCTGGTTGTCTTCTACTTACGACATAGCTGGTTAATGCACTGCTCGCCATTGCAGTCACTGCATGCTGCTCCTGTCTTGTATGGGCGCACTGGGTAATTCCCACTACAAAGGAAAGAAACACTGCTCTCAAACTGCCCTTGGGAGAAAAGTGTGAACACCTACCACTAATTAGTTTTAACCTGGGTTTTGCTTAACTTGTGTTGATACAGAGATGGTTTTTTGTATGGTCCCTGTCTGACTGCACAAGACGTGCAGTGAAGCAGAAGAGGTTAAGTGTAATGGGGGCACCCTGTTGTTTCAGAACCTGGACACAGCAGTATTGCAAACCTGGGGTTAAAATAGACTAAAAGCTGGGTAATTTATGTGTAGAGACTGCAGGCTCTCGGATCTGACTCTGGCTATGGGAACAAAAGCAGGTTTAGTTACCTGTGTATGTGAGTATTCAGCCTTGAAGAGGAATCTCTGGTGCTGGAGAATCTTTCATAGGTATTGATTTCATCCATTTGTTGGTAAATGTTTTTACGAGAGATGCACGTCTTCCCCTGCTTCCCACCTCTGCCAGCAGCATGAGTGGCACCAGCTACCACCCTGGCTGGGTAGCCTGATGACTATGCATATGAAGGACCTCTGGATAACATTTTGCCTTGAGAATCCCCAGCCCTCAGCTGCTAAGATAGCAGCTGCAAGCATTGCACTCTTCAATATGTATCCAAACCATTGACCCAGAGGCTTCATTCTGCAGTCACATGTGGAAATGTTTTCAGACATTTGGCTTTCACCTTAGCTGATACAATCTGTCTGGCACCATCTTGGCACTCAAGAACAAGAGATTCATTTTCAACTGATCACTTCAGTATTTTCATGTCAGCATCTTGTATTTAACCCTTTCTACCAGTGCCACTGCTTTTTGGCTCAAATATATGGCCCTCAACCAGCAAAGAAAAAGCTGGTTGGACAGAGGTGTACCTCTTTCTCTATTTTGAGGACCATTTCCTACCACAAAAGACACAAATAGATGGACTGATCTAATAAAGTTGCATGTTATGGGAGGGAAGGGGCAGGACCCAAGCCCTGTGAAATGGTATTCGTAATGAAAACCTTACGCTGGCCCGTAGTTGCAGATGAAGTGTGCTGCACTGGTTATGGAGGAGTACGCCACCCTGGGACAGAAGTGGACAGCACAGCCAACCTTGTAGCTTGTAGCCCAAACAATCTGCAAAGACAGATGGGTACACTGGTCACAAGGGCTTTGCTTCAGCATCTGAAGCTTTAAGGAAATGACTTGCCTTCCTCTGTATCACAGTGAATCAGCTGAGGAGCACTCCTTGGGCAAGCTTCATGGGGAAAAGCAGCAGTGATGGATCTCGAAATCACAGCTTGTTCTGAAAAGTGCCTGATTGTTTTGCCCTATTTGCTAGATATTGTTAAAATGAGTCTGAAAGGAAGAATAACTGTAACAGGCAGTTTTCCTTTCTTCCAAAGGAGAAGGTGAAGTTCATCTCCTTTGCTTCAAGGTAATCCATTAGCTTTCTGTCTTTCCTCCTGGGGGAGATCAGATCAAATCTCTGCAGAAAGGCTGTGTGATCTGCTATAGCCCCAAAGAGAGCTGATTGCCCCTGTGCTAAATCCAGTGGGGACATATACGCAAATTGTTGGAAGACACTGATGTTATGGGAGGAGCAGGAGGAGCTGCATATCAGGGCTGTAGACCTGCGTTTCAGCATCACACCAATGACTAAGATAATCTAGAGGCATCATCTAGCAATCCTCTGTCTACCAGAAGCTGTGCAGTTCAATCCAGCATCCTATAACCAACTCAAAGATTACAGTGCAACCAAATATTGCAGTCCTGGAGACAAAAACCCCATGAAGCAGAGGGGAGACGAGGGCACAGCAGTACCTGAGGGTGATCAACAGCAGCAGTGACTGACTATGGAGAGATGTAGAGAGATCCTGGCAGCACAAAGAGACGAAGACACACGCTCATGTCTCCACTGACTCAAAGGGGAGGCCTGGCCTTTCTGTTTGTGCCTTTTTGGTGCCAGCTCTGGGAAAAAGGAACAATCCTCAGACTCCTGAGGGTGTTCTCAGTGCAGTGGCAGAGCAGAGGCTGTCCTTGACATCAGCCATAGACACCTGCATCCCTGAGGACCATGATTGACCCTCCCCATCCCAAGCAGCTACCAGCTGAGGCATATGCTGGGCAAGTGTTTATGGTAACTACAGTAATTGTACCCATGCAAGCACTTGGGCTGCTCCTCTACAAACAACATGGTAAACAGCCCTGTGCCTTAGTGCCAGGTAAGCTGCCTTTCATAGGAGTTTCCAGATGCTCAATCTTGCCTTGTCCTTGTGACCAAGGTTAAAAGCAACATACTGTCACCTCTCACACATCCTGCATCCACATACCTTCTCTGCATACAAGTACGTGCATGTGTTGTTCAGCCTCCCCACTAGCTTCAGCTCACCTCTTCAAGTACTAAATGTGTATGTGTGTCTCTGCAGAAAGTATTAAATAGCCTCAGGTAAAAATCTAATCCCTAGAGCCACTGTTGCAAGCTGTCCTGCTTTCCCATAGCCATGGTTAGGGATTGCAGGGTTGCATGGCAGGGCACTCCTCTCCCTCACTTGTCCTCTTTCTTTGGGAATCATGGTTGGGAAAAATGTGCATGTGATGCTTGCAGAGCATTCTACGTGCTGGTATTTCCCCAGCCCTTTGCATGTAAAGGCTGCCTGCCAGAGCTGGGACCTCATTCCCCCATGCATTGCAGCCCACAGCCATTGCTGTTGCCTGTTGTTTGGACACTGCTTGGGTAAATCTGACTGCTTGATGGCTGACCTGTTTTCTTCCTGGAAACAAAATACAACTGTCATATTGAAAATAATAATAATAATAATAGTGACTCTTTTCCTCCCTAAAATGGGGACGTGAGAGTATCTTGTGAGAATATCAGATTTAACACAAGACTACAGCACATGGAAAACAATTCATTGCCTCTTCAACAGAGAGTTTCTTTGTCAAAATGGCAACACTGGTTCCTGGTTTAGATAGAGAAATGCAATGCCTACCTGTGTATAGTGGCCGCATGCTCCTCTGCATTTATTGGTGGCATAAGTGTAGGCACTGACCTCGTTGTACCAAGAGGTGATGGCTCCTTGCACAGTAAAAATAGAAAGTGAGCCAGTCCAGAGGTTTTCTCCAACGGGGCTAAATTTGGGGTGAGCCTGCCCTGGCTCTTTCAGGTACGTATTATGTTCAAACAGGCACTTCTTTGCCCAAGCTTTTGCAGTCTTTGCCAAGTCTGGATCCCAACTCTGCAAAAAAAGACAACTGAAAATCATTCAGTACCTTAGCAGTGTGGCAATTCAGAGCAGCTTTCAGGAGAAGCTGGGTCTCAGTAGCATGTATTCTTCGGGTTCATTTTATTTTGTCTCTGCTGAGACTTCCAGAGCTACATGCCAAATTGTCTTGTAGTTAATTTCTGATTTGAATTTACTCATTAAACTTGCAGAAGTTTTTGGGGTGGTGGGTGATCTTAGCTGTCTGGTTTGTTGGATGCCAAGAACTGTTTGTCAGTCAAATACAGTCTTTGGGGTGCAATGTGCATTTCCAGGCTGTGCTGACCAGGAGGGAATGTTAATGTAATTTAAACAGTGAATTTACAGGAAATCTGGAAATTCATGTGTATGCTTACCACCAATCAGACTGGAGCCTCATGCAGCCTCATGCATTCAGGCTACTGCTTTCAGGTCAGTTCACAAGCACACGTGGAATTTTGAGACAGTTTAAACTCAACCCCTTGGTTTGCATCTTTGTGTTCAGTGTCTTCAAATGTTAGTGATTAATTCATATTTGTGGAATGACTAATTCACTTGCTATTCAGTCCGACAGAAAGTGCTTGTTTAAGCAATTGAATTATGTAAGTCTTTTGTTTGCATTGGAGGTGGTGTCTGGTTTTGCTGTGTTTTCTTGTACACACAACTTGATTGAGCAAATACAGAATTGCATCTCCTGGAAAATGCAATTTTCTACATGTCTGTAGCCCTTGTTGCAATGTGTGTCTTGTAAATGAAGTTGTTCAGCAGTGCTGAACTATTTTAGATTGGACTTTGTTTTTAAAAGACACCTTTTATATTTCTCCTTTTCTATATGGATCAAAATATCTCTCTTGCTTCTGCAAACAATAGAATGACTAGGGAAATTGCTTTGAATGGATCAGTAACAATGACTAAGGAAAAGTTAGTTATTATTAGTTAATAATAATTTTAAAGGTAAGTTAGTAACTTTAAGTGTACTTTTCTGAGTGAATGCTTAAAGTGGCTGAGAGCTGAAAAAGCAGCGTGCAGAAACTGATATTTCAGGGTGATCTTTAACTATTTGCTTATGAAACTTCATTTATGCAAAAAGATAGGACTAAACTGATGCACAGAACAGGGACTTTTGCATACAGATATCATTGCTATTTAAGAAAATAATAATTACAGAATTACAGTTTTTTCTCCTAATAAATTATTTCTCAGTTTTGGTTGTATAGCTCAGGTGAGTTCCCTCTTGAATTAGGTAGGGAAAATTGAATGTGTGAAAAGTGATGTGAGGCATCTCTCAAAGGAGACTGTAGTGAAGCCCTAATGAAACTGATGAGACTCTTTGTGCTGATTTTGATGAGCGTTGGAACAGACCTAAGCAATGCTTTGGGTGAATGGAAAAGGGGTCACACTGGGGTAAAAAAAAAGATCAGCATTCTCATAATAAATGTATTACGAATACAGATGGTTGGGCTTTGTTACTTGCAGTTAAAGGAGTTTCTGTCCTGTATTTTCTTTTAAAAACTGTTTTTCCAAAAGATGGAAATGCTTTGAGTTCACATGGAAAGGCTTCATTTTTATGTATCTAGGTGGACAGTTAGCAGCAGCAGACAGAAGTTCCCTGTGAAAGAGAGACATCTTTTCATTTTTGAAGTGCTAAAGGCCACTCAAAAATGAAGAAATCTGCTGTTTTCAATTCCAATGCTTTTACTTTCATAACAGATTTTATCATGTATTATGCTGCTTTCTCCACGTTAAATTCTTCCTGGGAGAGGTCATACTTAAGATTAGGGGGGGATTGCAGTTTAAAAGAAACTTACCATGATTTCTTATTTTATTTGTAACAATCTTCATTTGTCGAAGCTTTTTTTTCTTGCTATTTTTTTCAGATTTCAGTTCTTTAATTTTTCAAAAGGAAAAATTAGGCATAATTTAAAAATATGACTATTGCTTTTTTAATACATCCTTACATCCTAGCAAGATTTTGTTAGTACAGGGCTAGTAAAGCATTCCAGAAAACTGAGTGTGGAGCTATATGTACTGGGAGTTCAGAATGCCCAGAAGAAGAAAGCTGAAGTAAAAGATACATCTAGAAAAGAAACTGAATTGTTTCCTGTCAGGCTTGTAACTGGAGCTTGCTCACTGCTCAGTTACCCCTCCCCAGTGGGCACTTCTTTGTTAGTGTTTGACAACCAGAAATGGTAAATGAGCTTTAACTTTGGTTGGGGTGTTGCGAATTACAGATGTGGTTATGTCCTCTTCTGGTGGTGGCCATGCGAGATAGCAAGGAAGAGGAACAAAATGAAAGAGATCAGAATTAGGACAGCCACAGAATCATAGAACCATGGAATGGTTTGGGTTAGAAGCAACTTTGAAGATCATCTGCTTCCAAGCCCTCTGCCATGGGCAGGGACAATTGCTATGGTCCATCTGAGAGATCTGTGATTATTCCAAGGAGAAACACAGAAATCTCAGGTATTACCCAGTCAAAGCACAAAAGGTGATGGATGTTGCAAGAGGCAACTCCCAAGCTATTGGAATTTAACATCTCACAAATCAGAGCTGGGCTTCTCAGCCATAAGCCTAGCTTTATGCATACAGCTTCCTCCTTGCTGGCTTTTCCATGTGCCACCCGACAGGGAGACAAGTGTCATGAGCCATCTGACATGAGAGGTGGCCACTTTTGGGTGCATTTTGAATTACAACAGACTATTTTTTGCATGGTGGCTGCAGATACTGCCTCCTGATGTGGACAGGGAGAAGGCAGGGATGTAGAGCAATGTGGGACCTGGTGCCTCCAGTATCACTTGCTCCTGATGTATGTTGCTTTTTGGCTTCCCCTGCAGCCCCAGTACCTAGAAACAGCTGCTCCATTGGCTCAGCCTGTGAGAGCCTTGCAAAGAAAGCTTAAAGAAAGCTCTCTGAGAGACTTTTTGGCAACAGTCTGTGCCCATGCTGACTCAAGTATGAAAGGTTGTGCTTAAGTCTGCACACAAATTACACCATGGGCTGTCAAGGCTTTTCACAGCACAAAACACTGAGGGTTGAAATCTTGGGTTTCAAATGAGGAAATTAATCCAGGAAAAATTATACACAAACCCGAGCGCATAAAGCCACCTGATAATCAGAGCCTTTTTCTCTGCTTTAAAAAGAAGCAGCGCTGCTTTTTATGCTCTGTGATCTATGGTTCTATGCTCTATGAACTCTACGATCCCAGGAGGTTGCTTTGAGAAGTGTAAGCACAGTCAAAATGCTACACACTTGCGTATAAGTCGTGAAGATCTCCTTACCATGTAGAGCATGTTGCTGGCCGACGGATTCACTCCGGACCGGAATCTGTTATGGGTTTGCACACATTCCTTAATAAACTCTGCATCTCCAACATCAGGCAATGTCTGTGGTCCGTATGAGTCAGAGGAACGACAGAAGTGCAGTAAAGCCAGCACACAAGCAGAAAATCTGCTTGTCATGATTCTCAGCCTCTGGTCTGTTCAGCTTTAAGAGCAGAATGCTTCAGAGGTGGTTTTAGCCCCACAGCAGCATTTTGCTTGGATGGCTTGTGGGCTGGACTTATCTTAGCCATGGTAATTGAATATGGCTTTGTTGCAGGAAATGAGTCACATTTCACCAGCACTGCTGCGAGAATGAGGAAATTAAGCTACGAGTTCACATCAGAGCTGTGGCAGCTTTGTCTCTTTTCTTTCTTCTTTCTTCAACTGTGGTGGGTAAGCTTCTGTCCTGCCTTTTGGGCTTCTTTGTTTTTGTTTTATTGGCTCCCAACATCCCGTCCGTAGCAATCACTATGGATTTTGGACAGTTTTGGATATATTTTCTGCTTTTCATTAAAACAGCATTGCTGTTACGGCTGTTACTCTTATCCAAAATGCTATGAGAAATAACTGAACTTTTACTACAGTATGAATAGTCACTTTTGTTGTACATGGAGTTATTGGAGGGGTATGTTTGGCTGAGAACCACAATTTAAGTATGCTGCACTTACTGATGGGTTTGTCCTGTGATCACATCCTTGTGCTATGTGCTATCAAGCTTCAGCAATTCATAATTAATTTCCTGTAACCCAAGTCCCCAGCTGAGTTGGATGCTGTGAAAGTTGGTGCTGTCTTGTGCTGGGTGCCCAGTACCCACACTGGGTTTCACAGCCAGGAGTTGGGAGCCGATGTCCCATGCATGTTGCCTCAGGTGCCCAACAGTGTCCCTGCTCAGACCCACCACCACCCCCCCCCTCTTCTTCACACTGCCCTTAACTATCACCTGTCCATCAAGCTCAGGCCCTTTGCCACAGTCCCAACCTTTACATCTCTATGGGAATGAGGTTGTAGCTGTCACTCCATGTTCATCTAAGGAAAACCTTTGAACACCTGGCTGCGGGTCCCAGCTATCACTTCTGCACATGCATTCCTGTGGGGGCTGGGGCTGGTGGCAAGGCTACCTTCAGCACACATTAGGTCCTGTGTGTCACACACTGCCAACTGTTTGTGGGGAGACTGATTACAGATGAAAATACTCTCTGAGGGAATCACGGACGAGAAACGCTTTGTTCACATCTCCCCGACAGACTCCTTTTTAGAGCAGAATAATGCAGTGTGTTGACCCCTGTCAGCAGCCAAGCATCCACACAGCCACTCGCTCACTCCCCTCTTCCCAACAGGATGGGGTAGAAAAGAGGAAGAAAAGTGAGAATATTCATGGGTCAGGATAAAGACAGTTTAATGAGTGTGGAAAGAGGAGGCAGGAAACAAGCAAACAAACCCCACCAGTGATGTACAGGCAATCACTCATACCCCCCAAAGGCAGACTGATGTCTAGACAGTCTCTGAGCAGTGGACACCCTGGAAGCCAGCCCCCCACATTTCTTCTTCCTTTATGGCAGGTTTTGTTGTGTGCGTGTGTGGTGGTTGTTTTGTTTGTTTGCTTGCTTCTGAACACAGTGTTATATGGCATAGAATATCCCTTCAGTCAATTCGGGTCAGCCATCCCAGCTGTGCCCCCTCCCAAACACTTTCCCAACTCCATCCAATTCACTGTTGGTACATATAAAAGATGGCAACAGACAGGAACTGAGAGTTGTGAAATTAAATATGTATCTTCTTACATGGTGACATTTTGCAGCATACAACAAAAGTGGGACGCCATGCTCCTTCAGAGCTGCTGTGTGGCTCAGAATTTGAGTCACTGTGTTCTCAAAGCATTAGGACTCTGATAAAGGAGGAGAAATATCTTTAAATACTGATAGCAGAGTTATGTATTGCTAATACCAGCCAGCATCTCTTAGCTTGAAAAACAGGTTTGTTTCCTTTACTAGGAAATGTATACAGGAGTGATAGGGTTTGAGGGTTAAATGTCTCTAAACCCAAAATGAATCTATCACTCAACAGTTTGGGCTTTTTAAATGAGGCTGAGATCTCCCATTTCTGAACCAGAGGCTGCCCTGAGCCTATTTCATCTTCCCCCTGCTGTTTTTCCTCCCTTCCTCCCCCACCTTCCCTGTCTGCAAGCTCAGCATGGCTGTCACCCAGATTTTGTATTTCAGATTTTGTCACCATCTCACATCCTAAAATTAAGCTCTCCCCATTAACACCCCATCTTAGTCCTTGCGCTGTCAACTTCCCCGGTATTGTAGCTATGGAGGACAGAGCTTAACTCTGGGAGGAGGAGAACAGAATAGTACACCTGACAACAGAGTAACTTTAATGAAGACTGATATATACACATAGGCTAAACACAATAAAAGACAAGCTTTACTCCTTCTGTTCATAAATAATTCATATAGTTAGATCTCCATTATCTGGGGAAAACAATGTTTGGGATAATTTAAGGTTAATGGAGATGAGTTATTCTTTCTGATACAGTGTGCCACTGCAGACATGTCTTTGTGATGCCCCAGGTTTCCAGGAGGCTTGTTAGCATGTATAGTAATATATAGTCTATATGTGGTCCCTCTATCAATCTACTGAACCAGATATAAATGGCTTGTACAGACATAGAAGCGTGTGCAGCTACTGCCAATAAATTATGCTAACTCTGCCTTGAGTGGAGAAGAAGCCTTTCCTATGGTGGATAAACATCACTAGGATAATGGAGAGATGACCAAGTGTTTTCTTATATGTGTGCAATTCTCTGAGAGTAATACAGAGCAGTAAGATCATTATTAGTACCTTAATTGATCATTACTCATTAAAAAAGTATGTGGAAACCACTTTTGTACTAAAAGAACAGCACCAATACTCAGTACCAAAACCAGTGGTCTTAAAATTGAAACACAAAGACAGTATTGGTCACAAGAGGGATGTGGCTGCTCAGCAGGTGGGATGTGGGGTGGTGCTGGAGGCCTGGGGGGCCGGGGCCGTGGCGGCTGGGGCTGTGTATCCCACTCCGGATGCCAGTAGGCATAATCTAAAACAGTGAAGAAACAGGCATTAAGACTCATCAAACTTAGCCATACTTACAGGAAAGCAATTAAGAACAACTTGATACGTACTTATCAGCTTCTCACGTTCTGTATTTGCTGAAAAGAGATCAGAAGAGGAAATGAATGCGAGTATCGCTAGGTGGTGGCTCTTAATGTAAAGCGTAAGCCATTGCTAGTGCCTGGGTCACTGCAGTGATGATGCCAGTTAGTGCCTAAAACATCCCGCAAGAGGAAGCATGCCAACAAGAGCAGGCTTCCAGCTGGTGTGGGGCTCTTATTTTTTATTAAATTACAAGAGATGCAGGAAAGAGGCAGTTGTGTCAGGAAGAATTTGTGTCATGGGAAGGAGGGAATAGCAAATTAAAACAAACCATGGAATTTATGTAAAATTGATAAACCAAATTTAAATAGTTACAGACAAATATAACTACTAGGTTTTTCGCAAAAGTACACCTTTACTAAGAGCTTTGATGCATTTTCAGGATTGCCTATGTGCATCCTATCGGAACTGCCTTATAGGAGAACATGGTAAAATGGGTTGTAGGATCTAGCACATAGTTTTTAAAAGCTCTCCTCATCCTCACACTCCCCCTAGTCTTTGAGATGTTCCTAGTTTTCCTGTGATGCATCAGTCTGAGACCTCAAGATGAGTCAGCCAGGATATCACAGAAGGAAATATGAGTACCAAATGCTCAATTATTTCTACAGCTGAAGCTATTTGGAGCCTGTATTGTAGAGACCGTCCTTATTAATCCTCTGTATAGAATTCATATTTGATTTAAGACATTGTTGCATGTCCTTTAATCTCTGTTTATTTAAAACACTATTTCTGACTAGTCTGGGACTAGGTGTAATGACATAAAGGTCCACAGCTGCAAATTGCTGTGGAAAAACAAGCTCTCACTGCTATAGTTCAGAAAATTGTAGAAGTTAGAAATAAGTGTGCTTTTCAGTAGTGTTGTCATTGATTCAGAGCTATAATCGCTTGGAAAACGTGACAGGACAAACTAGACAAGCAAGAAAGCAGAAGTTAAATATACAATTTCTGCTAGGAAAGAAGAAATACAGGGGGAATATTTGTCAGGGCTAGAGTTTTAGCTTTGACTTCCTGATCAGATAAAAGGCAGGCAGCAGTCTACCTGATACTTCCTTTCATCAGAAACTTTGATTTCTACCTCTAAGAGCCTTCAACAGAAAAGTATTTCAATTCATTCCTTCTTATACTATTCTTACCAGGGTTTGATACAGCTGTTCTGTGCTGCACTACAGACCCACTATGTACTTACTACAAATCATCTCATCGTCATTTTTCCACTCATAATTATGACGCTTTTATTTCTATTCAACTTTCTTAGTTGATCACTTTGGTCTTACCACAGAGCTTGTCTACACACTTATCGCTGCTGCATCCACTGCATGGTTGACCTACTTTATATGGTTTTCTTGGGTAATTCCCCCTGCAAAGCAGAAAAACAGTATTTTGCTAGCTCAGCCATTTGAAAGCAATTTAAATACATGGTTTCATCGGACTGTTAGGATAATTTTTCATGAACAGCTATTATGGGGGGAGGAAATCCCTTTATGAGAAAATGATCACTGCAGTTGTTTGAAATTCTTTTAGATCAGAATAAAGCTCTCACTGGCATGGGGAGCAGCTCCCTGGTGCCTCTTGAAATTAATGAGACTTCTCAGGAAATACCGTATTACTCACTGTAAGCACAACAGTCTGCCTCTAGTCCCTCCTTTCCCAGCTGTATTTTGAAAGCAAATACGTAAAAGGTAAGCCCAGAAATTGCAGGGTATGAGATAAACTAGAAGACCAACTGATTTCTTCAACTAAAATGTCTTGTTTGAAGCTTGGGTGGGGCGGTAGAAAGATGTAATCTTGTTGAAGCGCAAAGCTTGCACCTTTTCCTGCAGAGGCTGAACTGATTTTGTTCCACCATCTTGGTTATGGTGAGTGCTCTCAGCTATGTTCTGATCTCCTGCCCTTTTAGAAAGGGATTTTCTGCAGCTGTGGCTATGTCCAGCAGCTCCTGCTCTCAATGGCTGGGGGAAGCTTCCCTTGAACCCGTGACATATGAATGTAGCTTCTTCTCAAGTTTGTTACAGCTGCTCCCATCATTGTTCCATCTGACACCAGGTCAGTTCTAGGATATTTTAATAATACTAACAATAACAATAGCAATAACGATAATGTTACAAGGAACTTACGCTGGCCCATAGTCACAAACAAAATGTGCTGCTCTGAAAAGTCCTGGAAAATTTTCAACTGTATTGCAGAAGTGAACTGCACAGCCAACTTTGTAACTGTCTGCCCAAACAACCTGAAAGGCAAAGAGAAACGTAATGTACCCGTTCAAAAACTGAAAATACAACAGCATTAAGGGAGGAAGGAGAAGGGGAGGATCTTGTGGAAACTCAAAACAGCTGACACAGGGGCAACATCAACAACCCAAACAGCAGTTGAGACAAACAACTGAATGATAAATGCTTTTCCATTTATTATCTGGCTCCCCTGGAAACATGAAATCATCATGGGATAATCCCTTTCACCATACAGGAAATAGGACTTGGACATCCCTGGGACTTGGAATATTCGTTTTCAGTCTCATTCAGCAATAAATCGGGGGTTGTAAAATCTTGCTGTAATTCCTTTCCAGTCTGTTCCATGCCTGTACTTGACTTATGTGTGTAACCATGAGATTATAAACCATTGGGCATATAAGACTCACCTGGGTGTAGTGACCACACATGCCAGCGCACTTGTTGCTGTCAAAATCATAGCTGCTGACTTCGTTAAACCAGTCACTGAGAGCTGCATCCACAGAGAAGATGGTTGCTGTGCCAGTCCAGATGTTTTCTCCAACAGGGGTAAACGTGGGATGCACTCTCCCAGGCATTTTAAGGTAAACGTTGTGCTTAAACTTGCACTTCTTTGCCCATGCTTTGGCAGTTTTAGCTAAAGCAGTGTCCCAGGACTGTAGAAAAGGAAAAAAAAAACATAATATAACATGCACAGCAGTGACTTAGCTGAATTCAAACATTTTTAAACAGAAACTTTAGGATTCTTTTCCCCTTTTCTACTTCCCATCCCTGCATTCAGTTTCTTTCTCTGACTTGACATTCCTACTCCCATAACAATTTATTTTTTCTTCTTTCTTCCTTAGATACTGCAGGACATGTAGGATCTATCCGCTGACCTCTGGTATATGGGCTGAACTGCAGTCTGTAAACTGCTGCACCTGAGAGTAGGTAACTGGGTGAAACTCCCAGCTGTAGAGGGGTGTGAAGGACTTTGCATCTAGGGATTAGCCTTTTGCCCTTAACACTAAACCAAATAGGAATTCTGCTGGCCAGGATGGAGAGAAAACTCACTCCCTTCCCCAGCCCCTTTTGCCTCTTTGCTCTTCATTGAGAAGTGTGGCCGAAGCAAATAAAAGGCTCACTCCCCTCTCCTGGGTTGAGGAGGAATTATTCTTACACTGAGTGGCACAGTGAGAATTTGAGAAACCAGTCTGGGAGATTTGCAGAAAGACTTCATGCCACTGGATGACCAGGCAATAAAATAGCAGGTAAAAATGTAAAATTCAATATATAAAAAGTAAGTTAAGGGATGTGTGAGGAAAAAAAAAAAAAAGCACAATTTTGACTTTGTGTTCATAATGACAAGTTTGGAGATGGTTATTACCACTTGTAAATCACTATTAAAGAGTAGTCTAAAAAAAGCAAATGAAGTGTTAGAGATTCTTTGAGAAGGGATGGAAAATAAAACCAGGTGTATAATTACACCACTGTGAGAAGTCCTGTTAAATGCTGTGTGCATTAAAAAATGGACACTAGAACTGGAAAGGACAGAGAGAACATGGAGGGTGATGATCATCCTCAAGTATGTAGGGCTTTCATAGAACAACAAAGAGTGCTCTGCAGCTTTGATCAGAGACAGATGGACAGCTTGTGTCAAGTAGGTAAATAAGCAGTTCATTAGTTGCTCCTTCCAATACAAAGACCAGAGACTATCAAATGAAACTAAGAATTAACAGGTCAAATCAAGTGGAAGGAGATATCTTCACATAACTTGCGCTAAGGTTGTGCAGCTCTTTGCTATATGATGACAGGGATGATAAAAGCTTGCGTGAGCTCAAGGCTGAAAAAAAAAATCATACAAGAAAAATCCATCAAGAGCTTTTAAATACAATGTGATACCTTTGATTCAAGAGGTTTCTATATATTTATCTCGCTGTTATTCCAGGCTTGCTGGATTTTTGGTCTCAGCAGCTGAGTTTGTTCTTGTACAGTAGCATTTTAAATGAAACACTGATTTTTAAAATGGCAAGTATTAAAATAATGAGTAGTCCAAGCTACCCCTTTACTGTGAACTTCCTTTCATAGAAATGATTCATACTGTGCATGCGGTTATGCATTTAACTTCCTTTGCAGCTATGCTGCTGGAGGGCTCAGAGGAATGACATGAACTGACGGGGGCTACCTCTTTCAGCCTCCTATCTACCTTCTTCTGTATGTATTCCATCAAACAAGCTGAGACTTATTCGTAGTCTGTTCTACTATTCATTGCATTTATAGGAAGCTCTGTCTTCCAGCCCAGATATTAATATCCCTACTCTTCAAACCCTGCTACAGCAAATGACAAGCAGGTATCAAGATGGATGTCCTGGCAAACCCCTTTCTTCAACATATTCTAGACTGAGAGAAACAAGAGGAGATGCTAAATTTGCAACAAATCCTTTTGTGCTGGTTGCCTATTCAGAAGCTCTTTAATACCAGCTTCCCCGTATGAAACCTGGACTAACATAAAACAGATTACTATCTCTCTTAGAAAGAAGCAAATGAAATGCTGAGAACTGAACACCTTTTTTTTTTTTTTTGCAAGACAACCCTTTGTTCTGTCTTTTCTTCTGAAGCTTAAAGTAGCAATCCATCCCTAAAAAGGGAATTCCCTTCAGATTATTAACACTTAACAATACTGTGAAAATGAATGTCTTTTATATTTCTTATGAAGCATTAACATATATAGTAGGTAAGCCATTGACAGACATGGAAAGTAGAGCACAAAATAAATAAAGAATAAAATGGGCTAAATCAGCAGCACAAGATCTATTGATTTTCAAACAGATCATGAACACCACCTTACCATGCGAAACATGTTGCTGGCTGGTGGATTCACTTTGGATCGAAACGTGTTGTGAGCTCTCACACAGTCTTCAATGAACTTTGCATCTTCTATGTCAGGCAAGGGATATTGTAGATAAGCATGACAGCAAGCAAAGAGATCCAGTAAGAACAATGCAGCAAAGAAAAATGTGATTTTCATAATTCTTCAATGCTTTCAGTATTGTTTTTAAATTTCTAAAAGAAATCAGGTTGAGATAATACTGGCAAGCAGTTCCTCAGAGGATGTCCTCTCGGTGTTGAAGCACTTGAAACTGTCAAACTAACAGGAAGTGAAATTGCTTCATAAAGTACAGCTCTATCTGACATTATCTGGTTGCCTGAAATCACTGGAGGAGCTTCCAGTGCTCCTGGAGAATGGCTATAGGATTAGCACTTCTGTTAACATTCCAGGACTGATCGCTTCTTGGGGCAGTAGGATGGCCTGGGCTGGGATTTATATTGTCTCACCAACTGTTCTACAAGCTGGTTGAGGCTTTTTCAAACCTAAACCAAGCTGTATAAACATGCAAGAGCATAGGAACAGCCATGTTTTAAAATAAGGTCTTGTGACTCAGATTTAGATAGGTTTACAGAGAAAATATGTTGTAAACTATTCATGAGTCTCACTCTTTGCTCAGTTTTGCAGGTCAGGTCTTATCCTGCTGAACACTTGTGGAAATTATGATTCTGGTGTTGCATGATGGCTTTTCCCTGTTAAATAATACCCTTGATTTGCTTCAAATTGTAACAATCTGTACACCTTATTCAGGCAGGCTGAAGGATCTGTAGTCCTCCAGCACCATCACAGCTACATCTATTTAGGCTATTAACAGGAGGCATATAATGAAATATTTCTGCGTGTATGTGTTTATGGATGACCACACATTACTAACTCTCCACACCCTCCTCATAGCCCTGCAGTGATTTGTTGACCATTTTCATGAAGGCAGGGGCAGCTGTAGAAGGCAAAAAAGCTGGGTGTGTGTGTGTGTGTGTGTGTGTGGAAGAGATCCTGGTGCTTTGGATCTTTTGGGGAAGAAACAAAAAGAGGACTTCCAATTATTTTTGTCGGACAGGCTTAACACAGCCCTTACCAATAAACAGTCCTCACAGGCACAAGAGACCTGGACAGAGAGGGAACTGAAAAGTACTATCTTCCCCTTTTCTTTTACAATAGTTTCCTGTGAAACTCTCCCAGTAAGGTCACTGTTTTTTTCTCTAAGAAATTATTTGTTTAAAAAAAAAACAATCTGAAGCAGTCAGTGAGAGGAGACTGGCCACTTTCTCCGTGGCCACAGCAAGCTGGGTGCAAGAAGCTTTTAGTACATCAAGGTACTGTCCCTGATGATGTGATAAAAAGATGCTTGCAGCACTACCAGTCATCTCAAACTCTCAACTCCCCTGGCAAGTAAAGAGAAGTAGGGGGTGAAGCACTCACCCTGACACAACCCCAGCCCCAGGCAGTACCTACACTTGCAGCCCAGCCATTGGCTTTTAGCTCTTATTGCTTTACCTGCTCCTCTACCAGCGGTTGGCTGTGGCTCCATCAACCTCCAGAACACGTATGTGATGGTCATGATCTCACCTGCACTTACTAGATCCAACTGCTGACTCTGCCTCTGGTGTACCACTAACAGTGCCAAGGTCCCTTGACTACCAGATGTAGTTTCTGTTCTCTTCTGCTCTCATGGCTTATTCCAGAAACTGTGTGTGGACACTAGCAGAGGTGACAGGGCCCTCAGCTGTGGTGGGACATTTTTCAGTGTACAGGAGGACAGACCCTTGCTGGTGTTGATGACTGCTGGTCAAACTGGGATGGTGAAGCAGATCTCGGGAGGGAGGCTTCTTCCTGTGGCTGCCAATACCTTCTGTATAACCCAGGGACAGAGGTTGTTCTGTCAGCTGCTTGCTTCTGGGTTACCAAAGACCCTCCATTCTACCATGTGCACTCCTGAAGCCCACAGGGTACCTTCCAGGTGCCACTGGATGTGCCACTCTCCAGGTAATGGAAAGATACTTAGATGAAATTGTGACAGTTTACACCATTAGGGTAAACATCCCTCTCCCCTCCTTCCAAACTGAACATAGACAGTCTGCCTGCAGTTTTGCTCCTTTGAAAGTCACCTTGCCTCTTTTCTAGACCAGGACCAAGTTCAATTTACTGCCAGTTATTCTTTCTCCAGCTGAGTATTACCTTGGAAGTATGTTTTCTCTTTCTTTTTTCTTTCCTAATAATGCTGTACAATCTAAAGCTTTTGGGCAGCTAGATGTAATGTAATGTATATATAATATATATAATACTATATATTACAACCACATGCAATTTGCACTCAAACTGCACCATTAATTTAGCAATGCAGTGATCTTGCAGTTATAGATGCGTGCAGTTGAAATGTTGTGCTTGGAAGCTGAACGGAGACCTTTATGAAGCAGTGAATTTTGACACACCCAGGATAGCCCAGGTTACAGGCGACCTTCATGAAGAGCTGGCTCTGGCTCCACCTAGTGCTTCTATCTATAATTAAAGCAGAAGTCCAGCCTGCCCTCAAGCATCTGTAAACAATGTTTTCACAAAAAGAGTTCCAACCCTTTGCCAGCATTAGTCGGTGGATCTTGTAAACCAGATGAAACTTAAGCTTTGCGATTTGCGTGTTACATTATATTTGTCCGGACAATACAAACATTGCCTGTCCCTGCACCGATCTCAAGAGAAATTGAGCACAATGAGCTGGGTATGGGCGGGAAGCCATACAGCCCAGTAACTTTGAAAAGATCCCCATGTTTACATCCCTCCCTCTCACTTTGCACCTGCTTTCAGTTTAAAATGGCTGGAAAAAATAAGGCCTCAGTTTAGATTTCCGTAATTATGATTCAGTCAGAGGACTAAAGGTTGGTGGATTACAGACTATTATAGGTATCCAAGATGCCTGGGAATCTGTAAAATTACATTTTGTCCTCAAATCATCAACCTCCCCACATTGTTACTTGTGCTGGGGAGAGAATGTTTGTCTTTTGACTTACTAGGTTCAGCTGATCAAACACGGGTGGATCTGCTGGGCTTTCTTGTTCTGTCCACAGGATTAGGCAGCTGCGAGGTCATTTTGCCTTCAAGACTTGTGAATAATACTCTGACACGTATTCCTACTTCTTTTACACAGTCTCACCTCAGGGCAGTAAACAGATTGAATGAAAGGATGGTGGTGGTACTGGAATTATTTTGTAATAAACTATTTTGTGTTTATTAAAAGCTAAAAAATCTTGCAATTATTTTGTATTAATGAGGTTGTGAAGTGCCTTACAATTAACAGGGGAGCCCATCAGCATGCAATTGGACTGTATGTAGTTTCACTATCGTTTCGGTTAGGAGGATTTGTACAGTGCTGCTGCATAGTGCAACTATGCCCCTAGGCCTAACTGAACAAAATCACGCTGCACTGCTTGCAGTGTTCTCTCAACGCAGTACTGGGATGTCACATGGACTGAAGCACAAGAGGTTGTTGGAAGGTGCTTTCTGTGGTGCCCACCTCCTGCCAGTCAAGATGGCTATGCCCCTCAAGGACAGCCCACATCGCTCTCTTCCCTCAGCCAAAGGATAAGGGAAGCGGGAAGCACTCACCAAAGGCTGGCTCCAACCTTGGCAATAGGTCTGCCAAACTGTGAAGATGGATAGCCAGTGATAATGCCATGGAACACAGTACTCCCTTAAACCATGTAAATACGTGAGGAGAGGGTATACAAAAGATGGAGCTAGGTTCTTTTCAGTGATTCCCAGTGACAGGACCAGAGGCAATGGGCACAAACCAGAACATGTGGGGTTTCCTCTGAGCATCAGGAAATACTTTCTTACTGTGAGAGTGATCAAGCACTGGCACAGGTTGCCCAGAGAGGTTGCAGTCTCCATCCTTGGAGACATTCAGAAACCCTCCAGACATGGTTCTGGACAGGTCCAGGTATAAAGTGGCCCTGTTCAAACAGGAGTGCTAGACCAAGTGACCTCCAGAAGTCCCTTCCAACAACAACCATTCTGTGATTCTTGACAAAGCCAAAGCTTCCACAAGTTGTGCAGGACAAACAATCTAGCATGATCTCAGCAACATAGATACAGGAAGCTTGCTACAGAGTACAAGTATATGCCTAGCTAAACAGGACCTCTGGTTATCTTCCTTGTCCTTCATGTTATTTAGATTTCTTAAATTACTATGTTAGGGTGGTGAGGCACTGGAATGGGTTGCCCAGGGAGGTTGTGAATGCTCCATCCCTGGCAGTGTTCAAGACCAGGTTGGACGAGGCCTTGGGTGATATGGTTTAGTGTGAGGTGTCCCTGCCCATGGCAGGGGGATTGGAACTTGATGATCTTAAGGTCCTTTCCAACCCTAACTATTCTATGATTCTATGATTATTTATCACATTTGTTTCTTTTTAAATTTAAGGCATTTGAAAAATGAGGCAGCTTTTCTGATGTGCATCCTAAGTCTCTTTTCACAGGATAAGTGAGTAAGAGTAAGCCCCTTTTCCCTCGAAGTATTCCACGCCAGGTTGGATGGGGCTTTGCAACCTTGTCTAGTGGAAGGTGTCCCTGCCCATGGCAGGGGGTTTGGAACTAGTTGAACTTTAAGGCCCCCTCTAACCCAAACCATTCTAGGATTCTATGATAACATCAGAAATGGTGGGTGCACGGCAGCAGGATAGAAGCGCCGAAGTTCAAGAACCACTGCAGTACTATTGGAGTATTACAGAATATTGTTCAGGAATCTCCTGAGAGAAGATCCAGCAAGCCTTAACTGTCCACATCCATGCTGTTTTTATAAAAGGGACCTCTGAACCATCTTCTCAGCCACTGAGATTTCCTCCCGAAGACACCAAGTTGTGGAATGGGACAAACTGTATTTTGTGTGGACAGCACAAGAACAAAACTGAGGAAAGAAACTGAGAATCACAAGTTCAAACAGGCAGAATGAAAAACTACTTTAATGGATGGAAAACTACTTCATTTATTGGAACAGTATCTGATGGCATCGCCACCTGCACATCATTCTGTGTCGCAAATTCCACACTGCTGAGCTCAGGACAAACAATAACTGTGTCAGATGAAAGGACTACTATCAGCCTGGCATAAATATGGCTGAGGTTTTAAAGAAAAACGAGGGTTTTTCTCTTTCAACTTCGCCTTCTCTCCAAGGCATACTCTGATTGTTGAAGTCCTAACTGTGATAAAATTACTAAATGACAAGAACAGTTATTACCAGGGATAGGAATGACAGTGTTAGGTATTAATTTCTTTTAGGCTTTGTCACAGCTACAAGAAGGAAAACTTATGTTTTAGTAACTGAATATGAACAGGGGGTTTCGACTGCAAAAAAGCAGTATAGTGAAACTGTGCAATGTTAAACACCTCAGAACCTGAAAGAGCTTTATTGTAGCACCAGATTTTGTATTTCAGGTACTAAGGAAACTTTTTTTACTTACAGATGTCTGAAATATAGCTCTGAAGTGAGTTTTTCAACCCTAATACTGCATTTAAACAATGATTTTCTCTCCAGAGATGGTATTAGCAACGTTCATGTAAAGCAATGGAACTAGCTGTTGCTCAGGAACTTTAATAGTGCACCATTTTCTATGTAGGAGCCACCTACTTACGGTTTTAGGTACACAGTATTAGGCTTCTGGATTTGAAAATTTAATCCAAGTTTTAAATAATAAAACTTGTATTTGAAATGTCTGTTCTGTGTCTTAGTAATGTTAGAATAGAAAACTTAGAGAAGAAATAATTAGCACATACCTAATTTTAAATTAATGTACAGTAAAAGTCTAGTTTATTTTTTTTGTGACTGTTGCTAAAGATGAACTCATGGAAGCCTCCTTTAAGCTCAATCTGAACAGTAAGAAAATAGCAGAATTTGACTTTGTGAGGTTTTTTTATTTGCTTGTTTTACAGTAATGGTGAAACATGAACTTTCATGCAATCATATTGGCATTTACTAGGTAAGACTAAGATACAAGCAGCACAAAATCTAGTTTGCTATACTGGTAAGAAACACAAGTGTCAAATTCTTGTATAAGTTCCATCTGTCTTTTGTTGGAAAAAGTGAAATTAAAGCATATTAATGAAAGATTTAATGTCTTGGAAGAGTAAAGAAGAGTAAAATCTGATGATTAAATGGACTTGAGCAAGTTTCAAGGTAAAGAAAATTATTGAGACTCCAGAACACTTACAAAGCAGGAAATATGCTATGCATAAGTAACAGTACACATTAAAACAAGGATTAAAAAAATAAAATTAATCACAAGATTTAGAGGGAGTTAGAAAAAAATAATAAATCTGAAGTGTCACACTTTTAATATGAATAATAAATGCATTGTAAGTATCTGCTTGTGCTAGCTTCACAAACAGCAAGACTTCCAAAGAACTATCCTTCTATAAAATCCTACTTATATATTTTATTCAGAACATTCTATCACTCTACAAAACAGGCCTGAGTATGTAATATGATGCTAGCTTTCTCTCAGCATCGAAATTAAGCAATTGTGATTCCAAAGACTGCCTTAGTATGAACTGTAAGAGTTGTTTAACTGACACATAGTTTGTCCTTGAATTGCAGGAATAGAGTATGTCACAGTTTTGGGAAATCTTGTATTTAAAAATTAAATGCTCCAAACCTTACCAGATACCATCTTTAGCTTAATATTTTCCCAATATGGATTTTACCCACATACAGTTTCACTTTTTTTTTTTTGGCATGTTAGCTTTCTCTAAGGAGCATAAAATAATAGGAACAAAATTACTGTCAAAGAAAGTTGTCATTAATGTCACATCAGTATGACATTTTTGCTTATTTCGTTAGCAAGTATCTTCAGAAGATATTATGTGTTTCAAATCCAATTAGGTGTTTATAGGCATGTCTGTAAAGTAGCCTCTTGTAAAATAAACACAGGCAAAAGCAAGAACTAACAGTACTGTTCTCAAAACCACAAGACTGACACAAGCCTCATCGCATGTGATGCTGAACTCCCAAGCAGGTCGCCATCCTGAATAATCTATAAATAAGCATATAGATGTAAGATTTACTTGGAGTATATATTTAAAGTAACTGAGGAACATAAGTAGCAGTGGAAAACTGTAATACTTACAGGTAAGTTTATCACGTTCTGTATTTCCTGGAAAAAGGGACAAAATAAACAGTGTTACCAGCTAGTCCTGATTTCTTTCTCCTTAAAAATTTGTTATCTAAAATAATAGCTAAAATTTATCTAACTAGCTAAAAATATTATCTATTTAATATAAAATATTTAATATAAAAATATTATCTAAAATAATAGCTAAAACAAACTCATCAGATTTACAATCAGTAAAATTTGAAAAATTCCTTACAATTCCCACTGATAAACCTTACAATTAAAATAAAAGCCAGAATGTTCTGGTAAAAATGAAAACTGATACTTCATAATGGTAATGTCTCCATAAAGCCGTTACTCTTCATAACAATGATATGGATGGGGAAAGGGACACATTATACAGCCCCTTTATTTTCCATTTGAACCCTCTCCTTTGTCTTTCTCAAAGTAATAAATACTGATTAATATTCACAATGTACACATGAGCTAGCAAGTACTATCAAATACAATTTTATGGATGAGAAAGTGAGACAGACTGATTCCTAAGTGGGGCCTGATACTGGGATCAACTACAACCTGGTATTCTGTGTAGCTGTTTTTCAGACGTGTCTGCTATCTAAAAATTAAGACCTACAGGACTTCTGAATGTTTTTAAAGCTAGACTAACATTTATATTGAGCAAATATAGTAACTACCTGTTAGACAGAAACCATAAACCCTACTTCCAGTTTATTAAATGAAACTTAAAAACACACATCCTAACTTTAGCCACAGGAAACTGCTTGCTTGCGACTTCCCAGCAGGTGGAAGTTATCAGGTCAAGAGCTTTCTGAACACAGTCGACTTACTGTCTCTTCATGTTTCACTCCATCAAAACGTGATGCATACTTACCAATTCATGACTCTAATTCATTTTCTTGACAAGAACAGAGTTAAAAGAATTACCTAGTTTAAGGAAAGGATTTTATTCGCCATCGGGAAAACACTTTATAGCTAGAGAATTAAATCAGTATGCAGTCCCTTTTCATGCAGATATAACCAGGTGGGAAAGACAATGGGCCTTACAACTCCAGCATGAATTACAAACCCAGAATGACCTTCTCACAGTTACTGTGACTGCTTTCAGAGTACATAAGCATCAGCTATACTGAAGCTTGAATATAATTCAGCTGTGGCTGGCTGAAACAGTCACAACAGACTCAGTAACTGCAATTTAAATATTTAATTCCAAATATAACTGATTAGTAGCTCTGCTGTTTCTGAAGGCCTATGAGACTACTCAAGAATTGCTGCTAAATGCTACTCTGAAAAGTACATAGCTACATGCTGATTTCTTTGGTATGATTAATAAAGCCAGCACAATATCTGAGTGCAACAGAAAGTAATACATTTAACTGAAATCATGACTTATAACTGTCTATCATCAAATGGAGACTTCATAATGATCACCGAGGCCCAGATTCAGTAAAATATGATTTGTTTCCTGAATGTAAATAGCCTTAAGGATACTTTTTAATTACTTGTGAATTGGACACAAGACAACACCATCAAAGGGTAAAACAAAGCTTGCAACATTCTTTATCAAATACACCATTGTATTTTTTCCTCTTACATACTGCGTTTTACATTTACTTTTACTTACTACACAGTTTATTTTCACAGGTGTCATTTGCACAATGACTGCATGCTCTTCCTTCTATATATGGTCTTCTTTGCAAATTACCACTATAAAGGAAAAAGCAGAGTTTCACATGTAATTTTTAATGATTTGGTAAGTAGTATCTTAAATCATTTGTTGAAGTAAATACTCTAAAAAGACAACAAATTGCTGACAATTCATTATAAAAATCTCAGAATAATTTTTGTTCTTTTAATTGTTCTGTCCCTGTTAAAGAAAGAAACCTTAAAAAGCTGTTATTTTTCTTATGGGAAAATACTCATAATGTTCTATTATTTATACTAAAACAGAATTTTGTGGATGGAGCTTGGTTTTAACTGATGAAAAATGAGGATTTTAGAGTGGAAACTTTAGAGGTGAAACACTCTCAAATAGCTTAAACACATTTAGAAAAAAAAAATAAATTGTGAGCTTCATTCCACAAAACACGCATGTCCAAGAATAAATAACCAGTCTCAGTGAACACACTGGGATCTTTACATGCTTAAGGATCTCATCCAAGCAGAGACAGTGTTTAAGTGTAAAGATCAGCCTTCAGGACATAGCACGGCACATTCTCAGGAAAGCTCCTTACACATTGTAACTGCTGAAAAGAATAATACAGTTACCATCGTTCTGGCTGCCTATACCATGCTATTAGGTATTGGGAAACAGTACCTGGTGTATGCTGCATTCATTCAAAAAAGATGAAGAAGTGCCATATTTCATAGCCTAATCCTGGGAACTCTGGGGCAGATTTAATCCCCTCAAAGGACTGTGCACTATTATAGTTAGGTTTGTTTCCCACTCTGCTCACCTCCATAGTGGATACTCCTCAAAGGGGATCATTTTCACCAAAACCCATGATACATTTCTTCGGGATCCTAAGCCTGTATTTACACCCTTTATCATCTGTATTTATAAATGAGAGCTACTCACCAGACATATAGAGGAAAAGGTTCCTGTAATGCTGTTGTACAAGATGGATGGTGAAGAACAAAACACCACCGGTGACTTACTTGCTATTATTCTTTGAAATGTATTTTATGTATATTGCCTACAAGTACACTGTTGGCCTAAGTTTTACTGCAGCAGCATCTAGAGTGGCATATTGCAACCACATGCTCTGACATGCAGTCCAGGCAGCAATAAAACTGAATGGGGATCTTCTGCTACCAAGAATGGAACATAGGTCTTGAACTTGTCAGAGAAGAGCAGAAAAGAGAGTTATTAATATATATATGTATATACAAATATCTCAAAATTAAGAAGTTGGAGGTTAAGTAACTTACCTTTTGGGTGATCATCCATATATACATTCACAGCACAGGTGATTCCCAACAGTGGCCCACACAGTATCTTAAAAAGAGTCTCAGAATCCAGAATAAGAGATTGAAGGTCAAAGCATTGCTTCTAGAACCTCTGGCAAGACCATAATGCCTTCGTAAGGGCATGAAAGCAGACCCACTTGGTGACTGTGCACATTTCAGTTGCAGGAATGCAAATAGAAAGAAGCTACAGATATTGCCTGAGCTGCAGTTCAACAAGTCTTTCTTGGTATCAAAGGCTTTTACTGCATGTGATAATTACACTTCACACAGTTTGTAACCCCTGTGAAATCCCCTTTGAGAGACCTGTCAGCCACAGATCCAGAGAGATGAAAGGCCTTCCCTTTTTCTCCAAGAAGCCCTATCTCCTCATTAAAAATAAGTGTATCTACAGATTACTTAACACTTAGGTTGCCTCATTGGGAAGGTATAAGGAATGGAAAAAAAACCACAAATTAACTTATTTAGAGAGGAAAAAAGTCACTCTCACATGGAACACCAGGTGGCTTCTGAAGACTATGCCCCTTAATTGAAACAAAGTATATGGGAGACTATTACATGGGCTTTAATTTCACTTGTCCTGCTGGTTTGGGCTACAGAAACTAAAAGGCTCTCTTCATAATAACTGACATTGTTGTGGTTTATATTTTGCTCTTTTGATTAATCATCACTACTGTTTCATTTCTTTCTGACAGCTAGTGAGTGCTGAGCCAACATTCTCCATGGTTTTATAAGTGACCACCTTTTCCCTCATGTGTATCACTCCACTTTTACTTCCAGTGATTTTCAGTTGCCCAGCAGTGAAGACTTCAGAAACTGAGATGTCAGGAGTTTTTCGACATCATGCAAATCTCAGAGCACCCTATATTCACATTATCATACAAAACTTAGCAATCTGGTAGTTGCAACTGATAAAGTTACCTTGTAAAGTGATAAATCACCAGAGCATCTATCTAGTCTTCCCTTCAGGATTCATCAGGTTGTTTACACTTCTTGCTTTTAGCCATGGGCAAAGAGTGAAACGTGAGAGAGTGTTCAGTTTTTCTAGTTTGGACTTTCTGCCTATGGTGCAGAAAGGGCAGAGGTAAAATAAAATTAAAAACCCTAGGTAAATGAAAATAACAAATAACAAGGTAAGAGAAAATAACCAGTTGCAAAAGCTTTCAAGGATGGCTGAGAAGAATGCCCAGTAAGCCAAGAGACATCCTGCAAGACCCTTTCAAGGGTGTTTCCAAAATTCTGCTACCCTTCAAACAGAATACTGAGGACCATCTTGAGGCTCCTTTTAGAGCTAAAGGTTTCCTGGACGTAACCGATGAGGACTCACCCACTAAGAGAAAGCTAGGTAGAAAAGATGAGAACAGCATGACGGACAGAGCCCGGTAGCACGGATGTGGCATCTAAGTTTGAATATGACAGCAATGACAGGGCACATTCCAAAATACTTTATGCTTCTCTTTCAGTGGGGAGGCTACTTTGGGCATCTCAGACACGTATGGTCCCAGCAGCAGATCACAAACGATCTATAAAAGGACCACAGTGTAAAACTGTTACACTGAATGAAGTAATTTTGACAAGGTGGTCCTTAAACTGGTGCACCCTTAACTCTGAAAAAAACCTGTTTTCTAGCTGTCTTCTAAGGCAACTGAGCACTAAGGGTCCAAACCTTAGGAAAAAGTCATGAAGATCTAGTTGAAAAAGTGTGTTCCAGTATCTGGAGCTAGAATCATCATCTGGGGATGACTGGTGGCAAGGCTCAGGTTTATCTATTTTTCCAGACAGTTTAGGAAGGGAAAAGGCTGTTAGACGATTGCCTGTCTGTTCTAACTACGCTTGTTTCTGTAGTGACACAGACAGCAGAGTTCCTGGTTTCAAGCAGCGAACAAGAGAACAATGACACGTTAAGACCTCATTCTCAAGACAGCTATTCAGCTTAGCTATCAGCTCTCTAGGATGTGCAGAACAGCACAGCAAAACAACATGGTATACTGTTATAGATCAGAAAATCTCAAGTGAGAAGGCTTATAAACCACTGTTGAAGCCAATTAGTCATTATTCTGCAATGGCAACTGTAAACATATTAGTTCAGATTTTAAAAAGAAACCAACAAAGTCCTATACCCCAGCAAGTTTCAAAATAACAATTCAAGTGCAAGTCCAGTTTTGTCGTACAGGAAGAGAGATGGGCAGGGCTCAATGAACTTTTTTAGTTCAGGCTAACTGAACTCCCCAAAAGCGGCCCAGGTTTGCTAGAAGAAAAAAACAGCTGTCATGCAAGCTCACAAGCTATTTAAAAATGACAAATTGCATATGCATGTGCCTGATTATGGACTGTGTACTATTATGAGACAAAATATATTATTTTAGAACTACTGCCTCTGTGTCTTCAAACTCCTAATTTAGGAACAGCACTGACTAGGGCCTACGTTTTTTCAGAGTATAATTTAAATGTAAAATCACTTCCTGCTGTTAGCTTCTTCTTGCACTGATCATTTACTGTTTTCTAATGTTCAAATAACATGCGGTGCATCACAGCTTTTAGTCAAGAAATGAAAATGAAATTTATTTTACTGTTACAGAGAAAAAAGCAACTATCTACCAATTGTGCTATTATTTCTGTAATTAATAAGAAAAAAAAAATACATTGTAAAAAGCTAAGTGCAATTAAAACCATGTACAAAACTGGAAGTTGCCTAGAGCAACTGCTGCCACTTCTTTTGTGTCATATGAAAAAGAAATCATTGGAGTATGGGTAAGTTTGGGGTTTCTTTGCTTAGGAGTGGAAGAGAGAAAGATTTATCAGAAAAGTTAACAGATTAAAAACTTTGCAAGTACATGCTCATAGCTCTCTTGATAACTGAATTAGACAACAATTGTTTTCTCCAATAAATAAAGAACCCAATTTATTTACAGCTAAATGCCATTACAATTGCTTTTTTTTTTTAATATTTAAACCTGCAACCTACCTTGGTGCATAGTTGCAAACAAAATTTGCTGCATTTCGTATTCTTCCGATTTTGTTACATGGAGCAACAGCACAGCCTATTTTATATGAACAGTCCGAAACGACCTAAACAATGAAGATTTTAAAATAAATTAAAAACTACACTTAACAGTAACCTAGTCTAATATTTGGAAAGTTTACCTTATTTTCAGAAATCCTACTTCTTATTTTCATTTTGCAACACCTATTCTTATACATTCAAAAATACTGGTGGTAAGCACATTTTTTAAGATGAACTTCTGAATATTCACCCTTCAAGATGAAATGACCTATGCTGCAAGTTTCCAGAATCTTCTACAGAACAATTTTAGTAAGAGTCAATGACTTTATGACTCAGGAGTAGATTCCTTGGAACAAAAGAGAAATTAGTGGCAACTACCCAACAGCTCCTTTAATTACAACATTCATAACTCAGGTCTGCAAGAAGCACTTCTCTGTGCCAGAAGTGGTTCGGCTAATTTGTACTGTAAATTTAAGTCTGAAAGCTCTAGCACTGCACATGTTCAAACTAAAGGAGTGTCATCTGCCATTCTTAACAGAAAACGGTTTATTATCTCTTACAGTTTGGGTCTCTGCTTTTTCTTATAAGATTCTTTTCTATACCTTATGCATATGACTAACCAAACCGTACTAAGTTCAGGTGAAAAAGTTTAACTATACACCTAGCACATCTGGCTGATCATACATTCCACTTCAGAACAATTTAAAAGATATAGTGAATTACTCTCAGTACCTCCCCAGTACAAACAATACAGGCCTCAGACTGACAAACAGACTTGAATATGCCCACAAGTTCCACCTCTTCAAATGTAACTGTAAGAAGCAGTTACATTCAACAGATACAACCTGTCTTCAAAAAGGATCTTAGTATTTAAAGTGGTGTTACCTGACTCTTGGATTAAGGACTAAGCATTTCACAGATTTTTATGTAACCGCATCGCATATTTTTAGGTTTCCACCATTTTGAGATTAGTGTGTTGCGGTTCTCTTGGCAGGTCTACACAGCCTATCCACTATGATCTGTAAATTTTACCCACGTTCCACTTTCTGTTATAGCCTTCAAGACTATGACAGCTGCTAGTTCATGCCTGGTCTTTGATTATCAGTTTTGATGAAATACGTATTTTTAACAGATTCACTGGTGTTTAACCCATATACTCTGCTTGGTTTTGTTTCCAGCAATTAGTTGCCTGTGTAATTCAGCCTGAAATACTGCCTGAAATGCATGAACATTTTGAGATGACTTAACTATATATAAAACATGAAAGCAATATTAATCAGGAGAAAGAAAGATCAGAAGTGAACATTATTCCAAGAGAAATGTGCAAAACCCACCAGAATTCTATGTAGCCAAGGTTGAACACTGAATTTAAAAATGCTGAAAACTACCTTGCTATATAATTTTTCATAATTTATTGCACCAGAATAAAAGTGAAAAACACTTTCCAAGATGTTGTCTAGTTCTAATCTCCTAAAGATTTACTGCCCCATAAACAGCAAAACTTAAATCCTCCAGCCTTGCTTTTGAGTTTGTTACATGCAGAGTCAAGGGCAGGAAACAAGAATTAACACTTGAGAGGAAGTAAGTGAGAAAAGACACAAAAAGAGGTGCAAAAAAGACCCAAGCAGAAAATGCTCTGTAAATGATTCTGTTAACTACAAAGTATTTTCATTTCACAATCCAAAGTTACTCAAAAAGAACCTCACAGCTACTCTTGTTTTCTGGTAACAGCTGCACTGTAAGTAAGTATACCGCACAATTTTCATCTGTAATTTGCACAGAGAGCAGTCTAAGGACCTTCAATACTGATAAGAAATTAAGAGTCACTTTTATTAGCTACCTACTTGACATTAAAACTATCATCTGTTTTAAGTCAGTGAAATACTATATACTTGTTCATAGATACAATTAATTCTACTGCAAAGCTTATTTTTTAATCATGGTAATTAACAGATGCATTTAAAATATTAAGTGTTCCAAGAAAAGCTTCACTTTCTCAATAGAATTAAGATTGTCAGAATTACCACTGAGAAATCAGATATATATCATAAATTGCCTCTTCTGTTGTTGATGCTTTTTTTTCTTCTCTTCCTTTTTTACAAGATATGTAAAGAACACAATTTACTTTGGATGGATTTTCTCCTTCTGTTAACATTTCTACTATGGAGTACCACAAACATTCAGCAATTACTGTGATTATTTTGAACAGCACCTCCAAACTTACAGAAAACAGAACTGTGTGGCTTTGAAGCTGTAGAACTTGAAACGATTATTTTATGAAGTTCAGGAAGTACTGATATAATGAGACCTTCAGTAGGTCCAGTATTGTGAACAAGAATAGGTTACTACATACAAATCAGATAAACCAACTGACAGTATAGACATTGCTTGAGATTACAAAAGTCAATAAACTGTCAGTCACTATGGACGACATACAGAACTCTGTATTATTTACAGCCCCCACTGATTCATGTGGGAGGCACTATACAGGACATTTTACCAAAGATAACTCTTACCTGAAGGTAATGACCGCAGAACTTAGAACATACATCCACATTAAAGACATAGAACGCGACCTCATCATACCACGATTTAATGGCACCAGTAACATTAAATGCTTGAACACTTCCAACCCAAATATTCTCTCCAATAGATGTGAAATGAGGATGGCACTGATATCTCTCCTTTAAGTATACATTATGTTCAAAAACACATTTTCTTGCCCACGCCCTTGCAGTCCTTGCCAAAGCTGCATCCCAAGTCTGCAAAACATGAAAGGTGAAAATAGCTGTGCAACTACACACAGATCTCAGATAAAGCCAGTTAGGCAATAAAGTACAGATATATTATGCTGGAGTTTCATAAAGAAATACTTTCCCTTATTTAGGCCAAGTACCAGTGTTTTATTTTAATTGACATTTCCTGTTGCAGCATGGAAATATGCCTCATTTCATTAGACTATTTTTTTGTCCCCCTTCACTGTTGAGAATTAACTAAGAACACTTGCTAGTAACTGAAAAGTTGTTTGAAATGCACTTATATATTCAGATAAGAAATTACTGTCATATTAATTAAACATGAAACTTCTCTTTGTGTTTGTTTTTGTTGAATAGGTCATTAAGGATTTCTATTTGGTATATAAAAACTAATTCAAACTAAAAAAGCACAGCTATTGCAGATTCTGATCTACCGCTAAGTTTTTTTTTAAGGGAGGCTCCAGAACACTTATTCCTCCTACAGTAAAGCTTTAAATTCACATTAGAGCATCTTACAAAGACAGGTCTGTGAGGTAAACATGCCAATGTTTGGCTAGTAACTTATTCTGTTACCTCTTAGTTCTTTGTAGCCTGCCACCATTAATAAAACTTCTGATTCCTGAATATGAACCATCTTTGTTATTTGTTTTCCAGTCTCAATTGCTTTTCAGCCAGGTTCTTCTACCATTAAAATACCTAGTTTTATGTCTTATAAAAGATCCTGTGGTTTATTGCATAGGTTTATTTATGTTGGTACATTTCAGTTCACTCTTAATCTCTACGTGGATCTTACAGTAACTTCACTGGCTTCTCCTAACTGTTTTGTCCCTCAGGCCCTTAGTTTTTTCTAACCGTATTTCTATGTGCATACCTTTATTCATAGTTTTTCCCAGTTTTCAGGAAAATGCAATAAACATAGAATCATATCATAGAATCATAGGATGGTTTGTGCTGGATGAGCCTTGAAGGATCATCTAGTTTCCAACTCCCCTGCTATGGGCAGGGACACCTTCCACTAGACCAGGTTGCTCAAAGCCCCATCCAGCTTGGCCTTGAACACTGCTAGGAATGGGGCAGCCAAAACTTCTCTGGGCAACATCAAACATTCACTTTTTCTGCATCTTCTTCAGTTTTGTTTAACACTTTCCGGGGGGGGGATAAAAACTGCTGCAATTTGTTTTGGTTACGACAACCAAAAATTCTTTCTTGCTTCCAGAAATTCCCTTCAGCCCCAGTACTGCACTTCACCTCCTTGCTTTTGATGAAGATCCTAGCTCTTCTGGATTGGTCCTGCTGATGGCCCATTGCTTCTTCCTAGGCAGAAACTCCTGCGGGGCCTACAAGAAATCTGTAGAGGGACTTTTTACAAGTGACATGATAGGAGAAAATGGCAGACTTTGATTAGACATTAGAAGGAAGTTCTTACCAGGAGGGCGATGAAGCCCTGCACAGGTTGCCCAAAGAAACTATGGCTGCCCATCCCTGGCAGTGTTCAAGGCCAGGATGGATGGCGCTCTGAGCAACCTGGTCTAGTGGAAGGTGTCCCTACCCATTGCAGAGGGTTGCAAATGGATTATCTTTAAGGTACCTTGTACGACCCTATGATCTGCAGCTTGCCTGCGTCCATCCTCATCCTGCATGCCTGATGTTTCTAGACTCACCTGTCTACAACTGACTCAATTTCCTATCAAATGAACGTGATGGCATTTGAACACAAACCAGTGATTCCAACCTGGCTGCCTCACCCATGGCCACCAAGAGCCCCCTGGCCCACTGTTATACTGCTGCCGGCGGCGGTCTGCAGCCACTCGTGCACCCCCAGGCCTGCTCCTACCATGTACCGCATGTTGCTGGCCTCTGGCTGGACTTTGGAGCGGAAGTCATTGTGGCCGCGCACGCACTCCTTGATGAAGGCGGTATCTGTGATGGCCGGCAGGAGGCGTTGTCGCCCTGCCGCAGGCCTCAGCACCACCCACAAGGCCAGCACCACCGCCCATGGCCTCATGGCCGCAACTGCCGGGCTCCCGCAGAGAGATCCCGGCTCCACCTTGTCCCGGCCCAGCCTCTTCCAGAACCTTCTCCTTCACAGAGCGGCCCGCCGGATGCTGTTGCCACGTGACGCGAGGAGCCCGCTGGGGGGCGCTGCGGCGGCGGGCGGGGCGCGGCTGGCGCGCGGGGCGGTGGCTTGCTGTCGGGCAGGCGGCGGCCATGGTGTTGTCGGCGGCGCAGCAGGTGGTGGTCTCGGTGGTGCTGGTGCTCTGCGTCTTTGTCGTCATGCCCAGAATGTTCGGGGCGGGCGGCGGCGGCGGGCGGGCCGGGCGGTCTCCGCGGGGCGGCAGGGCCGGCCCCGGACATTACGATCTCCGTCAGCACCGCAGAGGTAGGAGATACAGGGGTAGCCGGGGCCGCGCTGCCGGCTGCTCGGAGCCGGCCCCTGGCTCGGGAACGTAGCCCCCGGGAGCGGAAAGGGAGCCCTTGCCCGACTGGAGCCGCTTGGTCATTTACATTGGCCGTGAAGGGGCAGGCCTTCTCAGCCGGCTCCGAGCTGGCCTGCATCCCTCCCCCTCCACGCCACCCACTTTGTGTTCTGCTTCTCTAGTTCATGATAATTCTGATTTTTGCCTGTGTCGTTCTAAGCAAGTGGCTTACAAATACAGGTAACACCCTGTTACGGGAAGCGTATCTCAGCGTGGCCGTGTAAGGAATAGTGCCTGCAGGGCGGCACTTAGTTCCTCCGGCAGCTGTGAGGTCTCAGAGGAGGAAATCCACTGCGCATGTTAGAAGCGCAGCAAGGAAGCCGGGCGTTACTGCCCGTAAACATAGCATACATCATGTGAGATTTGACTGGTAGTGTATTGGCACGAGTCGAAGATGCTTCTTTAGAAAAGGTATCACTGAACGGGCTAGAGAGCTTCTTGTTAAAGCGTGAGCAGTATAAATGTATGTTAAACTCTGTCACTGTACGTCAGGTGAGGATTTAGCTTAAGGTCCAAAGGTCTGCTTTCACTCTGGAAAATAACAAAATGCCTGCTTTCTTAAGGTGGCTCTGTGATTCCTTGATAATATCTTCCAAGGCATTCTAAGGGATAAACAGCTGCTGTAATCCTTCAAATTATGTGTCTGTGTGTTTTCCCGGAAGGCAGAAAAAGTGAAGCTTGAGCTGCTACCATGTTCTTCCCATCTGATGTCAAACCAACTTTGTGCTTCCTAAGCTCTTGTCTGGTCTGTTTTGCTTCATGATGCTTAATTTATATGTTAGCTGTCATTTCCTATAAATCAAATGGTTTTAAACCCAAACCTCACAAAAAGACAGTACTGCATAAAATAAGGTTCAGGCAGATCTGGTGTCCTCACCTGTCTGGGTGGTTCTTTTCTCCTGTTTGGTCTCTAACTCACTTTGCTGCTTCTTCAGTGCCAGGAAGGTGTTTGCTGCATCTACATTCTTATTGTATGACCTTTGGAAATTTTTTTACCATATTAAGTATTTCAGTAAATTTCACTTACTTTCAGTTCTGTTTGTTTTTAATGTAAGTAAAAAAGCGTGTGCAAACTTTAGTAGTAATCAATAGAAAACATTCTGAGGAGGAAGACTGTTAAAATGAGATTTCTAGAGTAGTGCATTTGTAGTAAGTCTAAACCTCCTTGTGTTGAAAGGAGACTGTCTGCCTGAACTTGCATTAAATGATTAAGGTAGCTCGAGTTCTGCTTGTATCAGGTAGGGCCTTTAATTTTCTTGTGTACATGTCCAGTTCTGTTTCCAGTTCCACTGAGCAAACATGCAAATAAAAGATCTCCAAATGGGCATGTTGCAAACTGATCAATTACATGTAGAAGAACTTGTAGTGATACTTGGCACGGCTTGACTGCAGAGCATTGGTTTACCATCAGTTTGCTATCAAGGAAACGTTGCTACAGTCAGAGTCTTTCCTGTAGCTAAAAAACTTTTCTGGCTAACTTATGTTAGACAATTCTAAAACAATGTTGGAGCTCTCTTATCACAAAGTACCAGCTTAGGTTAGCAGAATCAGAACCCTTTTTCTCTTGTATTTGGAAGATGATGTAACTAAAAAGAAGAAAGAGTTATTTCACTGGGAGTTGTAACTTACGTTAATTTTTTTCTCTACGTGATTGTGGCTGTCTCTTGCACCTTAAGTTATGTGGCTGTAAATTCTTGAAATGCCACTGTCTGTATTCAATGACAGGGAGTGATTTGCATAATGGTCTTTTGTTTGGGAGTTTTTATAGAATGTGAATCTTGTTTTAGCCATACCCAGTTCTGATATATTAAATTATGATGAACTAAATGTTCAAAGGGATTTGAAAGTATAAGTCTAGGCAGTCAGTTGAGACACCAGTGTAAAACTTTACCACCTCTCCAGTCACCTGCTGTCTGTCTCTGCACGCATCTGCATTCTTTAGCTGATAGCACTGTTTCTCATGTGCATGGCCCATGAACCCCAGATTTTACTACCAAATAACCTAATTCCTAAGTCGAACAATGACACTGGCTGTTCTTTTATCTGCTCCCTGTTCTGGCAGGCAAATTACATGCAAAAATACTTCAGACTTCCAAGGCTGCATCTCTTTGCTGTTGTGTAATCTCGTGCTAAATATTTGATTTGCAGAGGTACAGCACTTCTAAGCCCATGAGAATATCCAGCTAACACTGAATTTACTGTCAAAATAACAAAATCATCACACAGCATGTGTATTTCAACAAAACAATAATTCAATTTGTACTTAACTCCTTTGCTACAGAGGAAAAATACTAATTTGTAACTGCTCAGCATTATCAACAGGTTTTGTGAGTATAGTTTTGTTTCTTGTAACATCTGCTTTTCTGCAGGTTGCTGTAGGTTTGCCAATATTGCTGTGAAGGAGCTTAAAACTTAAAATGTTAAAGCTTAAATGTTAAATGTTAAAATGTTAAAGAAACATAGAAACTAGTTTGAGAGTGTGCTGTCTAGATTTAACTTTGCATACAATTCATGAAAGAGTGATTTTTAATTTTTTGGTTTTAGTAATTTTTATTTGGATGCGGGGCTGCCCATACCATCTTGGTGGAGTGATGAACAAAGTCACATAAGAAGAAAACAGTTTAATTCCAGTTGTGAAACTAATTGCAGTCTTAATTTCTTTTCTTACTTTGTCTTCTTTCTCTCAATTTAACTTTTAAGGTAGTCCTCAGACAGTTTATCAAGTTCACCAGAATCCAGGAAATTCTGACAGTAATACTTACCAGAGCATTCAGCAGATGAGAAATGCAATGGAAAAAGAGATAAAGAGTGAGAGAACAAGAGGAAATGGTAGAGAGTTAGCATTCACCCTCATGCCATTGTATGCTCTTGGAGTGGGAGTGTTTGCAGCATACAAATTTCTTAAGGTAAGAAAAGCATTAAATTATTGAAATTGGAAGGAAATGTAACTTGTTGGATTTGTTTTGTGCCTCTCTGTGCCCCCCCCTTCTATTTCTGAGCCCATGTATATTGTTGTCAAGAAGCCTTTTCTTGCTCAGTTTGACTTTGAATGTGAGCTCCAGAGTTAAAATTTCATAATTTTTGATTCTTCCTTATAAAGGCTTCTGACTGACTTCTACAAGTATCTAAAACAAGGTGAGAATCTTACCCCCCTCCCACCCAGATAAGAATCTGAGAATCTAAACAGTGCTGTTACCTGAGGCTGTAACTTAAGCCTCATCAGTATTTCACTTCCTTTTCAGTCTTCAGAATGAGATTAAGTATGGGAATGAGGTGGACAGGATGATTCCTGCAGAGTAATAGTCTTAGATTAGCAATTAGATAAATAGTGAGTAGACTTAACCTTTTATTTGACTTGACATTTTATTCGAACTTCTCATTTGGTCATGCAGCTGCAACATAGACTTTTATCCATGAAATATGATACCATATTTGATTTACCATTTGTAAATCAAAAAAAGGAGAAAATGTGATCAGTTGTTTGTGGTTTTTTTTTAAATGCCTTGATATGTATTATTTATAGTAAGAGATATTACAGCACTTGGAATGCTGAGAGGGCACCTGGAATATTGTTGCTTGCCTTCAGAATAAAGAAACCCAGCCTGAACAAAGTCAGAGACAGCATCTTCATTTCCATAGTTGTTTCATATAATCTCAATAATGAGAAAAAGACCACAACTTAGCAAAATGGACATGGGGGCTGACCAGTTTGGTTTTAAAAATAAATGTAATTAGGTTGTAAATAAGATTTAAACATAATAAAAACAATAATTTGGAGGTTACAGATCTTTACACTTGAGCTTGTGAGTTTAAAATGTAAATTTTATTGTAATTGCATCTTTACTACTTGAAGAAGGAAGTTTTACCTCTTAGTTAATGGGAGGAAACTGGATCCAGTAACCTAGGAGATTCCTTCTGTTCATTTTTGAAAACTGGATTTGATATAGCAACTGCTTTCTTTTACAGCTTCTGTCAGTCAGGTTGCCATTGCTTAAAATCAGGAGTGTTAGTTTAAGATACAAAGAAGGCACAGCTGAATAGAGTTTCATTAATGGAGCAGATTTTTATGGTTTCTGTTTAGCTTCAGTAAATTTCTAAGTGCTTTCTTGTTTTAATACACGAATAGTGATGAAGTGTTTTTAACATGATTTTATTTATTAAAGATGAAGTCACATGAAGAAAGTCTCACCAAAAAGGAAAAAAGTATGGAAGACAAGGCAAAGGAAACAGGTAAGATACCCATTCAGAATGCATATTTCCTGCTGGAACAAAGCTACATGTTTTCATTGATGGCAGTCTAGCTAAATGAGAACAATCTTTTAAGTTACTTAAGTGCAGCTAGGAACCTACAAAAAAAGACTTTGTTAGTCTTTGTATGTGAAACAGTTGTTAGAGGTGTATTTGAAAACTCCAGGTGGTAATGTGCTTTGAAACAGTATAGTGATACAGTATGATTCTCTGCTTTTTAATGTCTGATGTTTTTCTGACTTAAGACTTGTTTGGTTTTCTTCAGTAGAACAGGATGTCTAAATATGATATAATAATCTTTAGAATAATAAGGTATTTAAAAGGGATATAATCTGCTTTAGAATTGAACTGTGTCAGCAGTGGAACAGTATGGGTAAACAGTTAAAGAGACTTGAACTTCTGGGCCAAATTGAGAGACCTGTCAAAGACATCAAATGTTTATAGAGGAGACAGAATAAATTATACCATCTTTTTCTTCATTATAGAGAGAGTACTTTTAACTGTCTGATTCAGTCTGTTCTGCATATGCCAAAAAGTAGGCTTTCCTTTTGAGAAAAAATTATGGCACATCAAAGTTGAGCAGTTTTCATACTTCATATATTTTTTGCTCCTTATATAGACACATATTTAGTCAGTTAAACAACTATCAACCTCTTTTGGTGTCTCTGTATACCAGATCTGTAACTGGGTTCAGCAATGATTTGCTGTGCTGCCCACTCACCATTCCTGCGTGTTGCATTCTTCTTTCTTCAAAGTTTAGTAGTATTGTAGGATAAGTTAATCCTCTTGACTCTAGTGCATTGTGTTGAATATAATTGTGATGTGTGAGTGGGCAAATTCATGATAGCATATTAAGTATAAATACACTACTTATATGTCATGAAGTCTTGAAATTGCATATATTTGAGGCTGGGAAGGTGACAGCCACATTCTTGCTCAGTTTCTGCCAATGTGTCCTCTATTTGGGCACTATTGGAGGCAGGTTACTGCATAAGAGGGACATAGTAAAGCTACTGTTCTTACCTCAGCTATTCCCCTTTCATGTTCTAGAATTCTACAGAGAAAAAAAATCCTGTTTTTTAACCTGCCCAACTGAAAATACAAATTAATATCTTTTTTGTTATGGTAAATAGATTTCTTACAGTGTCCTTTCCTCCTCCCCCAACTCTCTCCCCCCCCTTTTTTTCTTAAATTCTGTGTTTTGTTAGAGCATCAGCTTTTAGAGCTGGAGCAGCATCTAGCACAGACAGAGAAAATGCTGAATTCCTTATTGACTCAGTTGGATCCACTGTCAAACTGGTGAGTGTTTCTAAACATCTCATTTAGTATTGTTTTATGTAAATTGAAATTCTCTAAAATGTTAACAGAGTTCTTAAAATGTTCCTTATATATAGGTAAGGAATAGTGTTTAGGAAGGTTCTTTAATTACTTATTGTCTCTGTGGCCTTCTGCAGGTAATAGCTCTTCTGCAATTTGTGATATTTTCCACAGTCACCTCCTGTCTCTTGTTCACCAAACGCAAGTGCAAAAGCTCAGACTTATCATGTTACTGTGGCTTTAAATTTTAATATTGACCAAAGAGACTAATACTGAAAAAATACTTAAGCTCAGTAGCATTTGAAAGCCCTTGCAGAAATTAGGTTTCCAGTAGCAGAAAGAGTTTCTTCCTTCTGCTGTAATTAGAAAACAAAACTAGTTATCAAGGGTAGCTAATTATTTCTTAAGAAGCTAGGGTCTTACTTAAGTACTAGAAATTAAAATACCCATGTAGTCCATTTTTTGTAGACTGACATCTTTCACGAAGCCTAGTTAAAAACAGGCAAAATTTCATGATTATTCCTTTAGTGTGTTTCTGAACTTAATATGTGCTGAAACTATTAAGCAGCAAATACACTGATAAATTTGCATTACAGATTCAAGGTAGTGATGGGGAGAAAAATAAAATCTGAAATAAATGAGAAACACATCTAAACTGTAAATGTCTGCATTAGGCACTGTTGTACTAAAAATAAAAATGAAATTACTTTGGAGAATTGTTTGTTTCAGTAGTCATTACTCAGCCTTAGCCACTTGGGCTCCAGTGTTAGAATTCAGTGGCTAGATTATTCTGCAGACGTATGTGGTGGGCTCCCTACTTCTCAGGAGACAGTTCTCAAAGAAAATGTTGACCTAAACATGTTGCTAACTCAACTATGGTACTTATCCACAAACAGAACTATTGCAGTCTTGTACATTATTATCAAACTCTCACTTCCAAGGTAATCTTTCAGCTGCTGACATCTGCCTTGTTTTTTTTTTCTTAGTGTTAATGCTTTAGCTTGTGAGCAGAAGGATGAAATAATGACACAGCTCCAATCAATTAGACGGCTGATGAAAGAAAGTGGATTGGATAAATCAGAAAACACAATGAAAGGTACTTTGATTTCCAGCAGGATAGGCAACTTTAGTTTATATTTTAAAGTAATAAACTATAGTTTATTCCTTTAAATACAGGATTCCTTTAAATATAGAATCTTACTATAGTAATGTTTAGCTCTTGCATCTTAGGTAATGTGTGTGAAATTAATTTTATTCTGGAGGAGTGTCATTGTTCCTGTTTGAGGTGTGTCTGGATATATCATGACTTTTCTTTGGGAACAGGTGCTAAAAGACATCGCACTAGGATAGACCACACAGTCATGTTCTGCTTTGTTAAAACGGGCTTTTTGAACAGGAGTTCCTAAGCAGGCTGTTAGTACTGGAGTAATTTCAGTTTGAGGATTCCCATGTGGGGACCTCTGAGGCTGCACAATATACAAAACACCAAATTTTATATTAGTTTCAACTGAAGACTTTCAAGAGGTTCTTAGTAGTCCAGAAGAAATCTTAAGAATGGCTCACTAGAAATTTGGGGAATGTTTGCATTAGTTGAGTCTTAATAGAGGAAAAACAAAAATGCTACTTCTAAACTGAAGCTGAAATTTGGTGACTTTTTGGTAATTTGAACTTTCTTTTTATTTTATTTTTTTTGTGAATTTTAAGATCTTGGCCACGTTTGTAACGAGAAACTTGAAGATCTCATTCAGTCATTTGCTGAACATTCTCAAGAGAAAGAAATGGATGACAGAGAAAATGACAGTAATGAAGATTTGCTTGAGTATATTGATAATGATGACAGAATAGAAGAGCATGAATTACACAATGAGTGCGAAGAATATCAGTTGGAGCAAGATGTGGTAGAAGACCAAGAAATAATGAACATTGCATCAGAAGAGATGGGATTGAGGAGGCGTAATAGATATGAATGAAATCTGCACATACAAAATTTTAAAAAGCTTATGAATTATTTTTTTCCTGTAATGTATGCACTTTAAACTGTTTTGAATGGAGTTCTGTGCACTGCTGTATGCTTTAAAAAGGGTGTGAAATACTGCCTGTGCTCCTGTCTATGACAGTTCTGCAACTGACTTCAGTGGCAGCAGAATTTTACTCAGGATGTTTACATATTTTTTTCTATTTATTTTTTTCCTATAAATAATATTTCTGTACTCTGTATATAATGCACTGTAACTATATCTGATGCTTCACTAAAATATTAGAATGTCTTGTAGTTAAGACTATAAAGCATAGATGTTTCATAAATGTTTTGTAGCTAACAAGCATGTTGCCATGTGACTTTCTTGAGTTCATTAAAGAGCATGGACTGATGAATTCAGCTCTTTGTGGAAAACTTTCTCCGAAGCAGGTGTAAAAAGCAGTTAGCATTAAGTCTTAGAAATGCATTCAAGTTTTTATTTGGACAGAGAAACCTGGCCACAGACACTATTTATGTCCGAGTTTGCCATCTCCTCACAAATTATATATAGTTTTGTGTATGAGTTTAAACTTCAATAATTTCACTGGATCACTTAATCTGTTCCACACCTGTCACTGATTAAACTCTGCAGCTGCCTCATAATTGATGACCATTAGTACTATATCCCTATTTCATATTTATTTTAACACAATAGAACCTTTCCTTTTGATTCGTTGCAATACTCTTTTTCTTAGAATAGCATTCTGAGAAACAGATGCATTGCTATTATCATTCTGTACCTGTGGGCTTTGGAGGTTCATTTTTCAGTTCATGATGCCAGCTTAATAGTGGCTTTTTTAAAACGTTTACTTCCTTTGCCAGACTAATTTTTGTCCATACCTTTATTTTCTGCTTATTTTTTGTTCACTTAACATGTATGCCTATTTAGCTGCCACCCTTCAGTGACAGGAAGTACATTAGAGGTAGGCCTGACAGCACAATACTGTTATATTTTCGGGTTTATAATTGCATAGCTTTTAAGTAGGCTAGTTGCAATGCCTCTCGCTATCTTTGTTCTTAAAGGAAAATAACATGGATTTGTTTTAATGTAGGAAATGCACCAAACCTGTTACTGTGCCACTCACTGAAACGGAATGAATTGCTCATTCAGGTGCAGGAACATGGTCCATCATTGGTTCTACAAATGGATCACATGGGCTTTGAAGTAACAGTATCCAGAAATACATCATTAGCGTCAGTGTATTAGGCAACATCTCACTTACTGCAAAACTAATTTGGGAAAACTGATTGACCAGAAAGCTAGGGTTTCTCCAGAGGTGATAGTTTTCCCCAGGACAGAATGGATGCAATTGGACAGAATTATGCTGCTGCTACTGGAAACCCTTGCCTATGAGGTCTCAAGCTACTTTGGGGTAATGGCTGGATTTCTGACCCAGGTCTGTAGCCGTTCACCGTGAGCCCTTTTGCTGCTAGTTTGAAATCTCTGCTTTCAGCTGTCTGGATCTGCGCAGCACACGGACCTGTGCAGCGCACAAGAGCTTAGTCTCCTTGGCGGGTGCTGCGGAGCTCTGCCGGCCGGAGCACGGCCGGTGTGCGCTGGAAGGATGCTGGGGCCGGGCATTTCCTCCGGAGGGGTCCTGTCAGCCAGCCTCGCCGCTCGGCTATGGCGGTGTTTTGCGACATTTGGGTGCTGAGCCCGGGCGGGACTGGCCCCTCCGCGCCGCGGTACCCGGCAGTGCCCCGCGGGCGGGGCTGACGCAACGTGACAACAGGTCGCGGGGAGGGTGCGTGACGGGGCGCGGTTACCATGGAGACGCATGGGCGTGGGGCAGGCCATTCCCGTCCGCCATGCGTGGCCCAGCGGTGAGACTCCTCCGCGACCCGGCCGTGCTCCGCCAGCGCTGCGGGTCTCCCCTTCCTTCAGCCCCCATGCGCTCCTGGGAGAGTACATGGCTTCCGTATAGCTGGCTCGTACAGTGCTGTTTGTGGTAAAGCTACTTCAGCGCGTTAACCGTTTAGCGCAGCAACGCTCTCTGCCCCCTGTGCCTTCAGCGGGGAGGATACTGCCTCTCGCTGAGACCTGTGAGGTCGTGAGAAGTCGTCGGCTCCTGGTTTTAAGTGCCCTGAGAGAGGGGGTTTGGATGGAAGGCCGGCAGGTTGGCCATCTCTGATCCAAGTAGGCCCTTCGGCTTGCTAAAGGAAAGGATTCTTGGGAGGTAAACCTGCTCCGTAAGTAGGAACGTGGTCAGAAAATGTGGATGGTGACTTGAAAACAAGAGTGTCTGGTTTCTAGGAATTAAATGATTTTTGGTTCAAAACTGGCTGGGTGGAAGGAGAAACCATCAGAGCAGGAGACGGCATATTGATAAAATGTTGCTTGGAGCTGTTGGAGGCCGGCTGTGCTCCAGGAGGGCCCTTACCTCTTCCTGAAAATACCTCAAAATGCACGGTGCAGCTGAGAGCCAGGCAGCAGCTGTCAGCCAAGAGTGAAAGAGGTTTGATGTTGTCAAGGGGTAACAAGTTAGGACTGCTGGTATGGGAAGTTATCAAGAAGGGTAAAGGAAAGAGGGAGTTAAACGATGCTGTGATAAATGCATAAATGTATTGGCTTTCGCAAATCATAGGTGTGGTTATGTGGATATAACTGTACGAGTTTACAATAACAGAAACAAAGCTCGATAAAGACACAAGATTAGACAAGTTAAAAAGGGCTAGAACTCTTGAGCAAAACGGAGTCACATAGCAAAAGAATTTGTAAAGGTAAAAGAAAGAGGGGCAGGGACTTGATATAAGAAAAGCTAGTGCCTGGAAAACATAGGGGTAAAGCACTTTTTAGCTTAAGTTAGGTTGCAGAAAGAGAACAATGTTTATGTTGTAAGTCCGGAATTTAGTGGCACCAGTAAACATGAGTTAATTGTTTCACACTAGTCTTCTAAAGTGTCTTTAACTTTAAATAACAATGTTTGTGTTGTAAGTCTGTGGTGAGATAACAGCATTTAGTGGCCCCACTAAACATGAATGAATTATTTTACACCATCCTTCTACTTATCAGTTAGAGACAGAGCCTCCCAAAATCTGCTAGTTTGGGATGCTCCTTGCCTGCCCATCCTGCAATAAATTTTGCAGGAAGGTCACACTGTTTTAAATCTCTGCTAGTTATCAGAAGAATTACAGGTATGGCTGGTTTCAGCTAGTTGTGTGATTACTGGGGCGTCCAACTGTGCCAAAGGTGAAAAGTACACTGTGAGGAAGACTGCTTACTTCATCTTGAAGACCCCTACTTACAAGAAGACTGCTTACTGCATCCTCAAGACCCCTGCCCCCAATCAACAGAGAGCAGTGTGCAAGAGGAGGAGACTTATGATGATAAATTCCTGGAGCTAGTTACAATATTCCCCGCCTATACACAGAAATTATGAATATGTATAAGACTAATGCAATACTGAAAGTATATAAACCCATAACAAATACTAATTAGTTGTGCCTCTGGCTACGGTCATGTGCCCAATGCTGTTTCTTTTGCTTTATTGGCTTTGTCCCTCAATAGAAACTTGTTAACTCATTTAGAGGAGTGAGTTCATATTTCACAATGCAAAGATGTAAATCTGAACAGGAATCTGGTTAAGCATTAGTAAAGAAAGACTGAAGTTAAGAGGTGGTGAAAAAGGAAAGCCAGCAACATTTCACAGCTTGACAAAGACTTCACCCAAATCATCGGTGACAGACCCGCTCTTTCTAATGCAATAATAGGATTTTTTTTTTGCAGAAGTACTTATATAAAAAGTACATTATTTTCTCAGTAGCCTTTTCTGTTTTTCAGTTTATTCTGAAGTTGTTCATTGGCTTTGGATGGATTTGGAAGTTAAAGGAGTTGCTGCATCCCCTCAAAGGCAGGTTCAGCTGTCAACGAGGGGGAAGAAATATCAGGTGTGTTAACAGAAGGCTTGTGGTTGTTTTCCTTCTTTGTCATCTTAACAAATATTTTAAACATACTTCAGAAGGTTCTTAGTTTGATGCTATAATGCATCCTGTGGAGAAGGAAGCTTTTAACGAAATTACTTTTGTCAAGAAATAGTTTATCATGACAGCTTCTCAAATGAAGGTGAGAATTGCTAATTAAAACAGCTGCCTTATAAAAACTGATATTCTGGTTACTTGACTGGGATGTGGAGAACTTGGGAACAAACTAATGCGTCCAATTCAGAGCAACAGAGACTTGATCCTGTACTGTGTGCTATCTCAGGCTGTTGGTGAAGTTGGCAACAGGTTCATCTGTTTTTATTTTACAAGACAGCGCTAAAGTAAAGCAACCCCCAAAACATAATTGGAAAAGGCATGATTTCAGATTGATGTGTAAAATGAATCCCAGTGCTCTGTATTCAGTCTGAAGGGGAATTTTGTTTTCCAGGTATTCCTAATAGTCTATGTTTCGAAGTACATTTTAACCTCACAAGGTCACTATGGCAGAAGCTTTCAGGCTAACTTGAAAGCCTGAATGTGATCTTGGATTCTGAGGGCCACTGTTTTTATTTTAGCCAAGGTAAATATTAATATTGTTAGTTGATTTTTCTCACAGATAGTGTGTACCTTATGTCCATGAAGTCAAGTTAATTGGTAATCTTCCTTCAGCCCCCAAGCACCCATTTAACTTCCTTATTTGCTGGGTGACCCCATTAGGAATTCTTTGAGTTTGACTGCCAAGTTGCCCTTTTCCTTTTATGTTTGTTCATGTTTGCTTTAGAATGAAAAAGGAGCTTTTGTAAATGATATCACATCAATGTTATAATGTTACCTCTTAACCAGTCTTTTAAGAATGAAATTCCTGTGAATGACAAGAACATTTTGAGGCATTTAGTATAGGTTGTAAAAGAAAAGGAATGTCCGTTTTTCTCTAATCTCCCATCCCTTTTGTCTTCTCTTTCTTGCCCCCCTCAGTTTCCAAATTTAGACTCCCTAGTCCATGAGATTCTTGTTAGCTTGCAAAAATAAATCACAGATAAAAATTAGGTAGAAACTGTGTGCTTGACCCTGTAAATTTGGACAGTCCAGGATGATTTTTGTTTGCTTTCTTCCTGATTTGATGACTTCTGGAAAAGGAATTACCTTAAGACTTTAACATCTAGAATGTGGTATGTTATTTATCTTATCACAGTTGAAATGGTACAAAAAATATATAGACTTGTGATTTAATCCATTGCTTTTAGTCTTGTGTTAGCTCTCTTAAGGGGTTTTTACATACTTAACCACAAGGTGGGGATATTTATTGTGCGCGACCTTACTGGGGAGGAACTATTGTTTTTAAATCCCCTTTTTTTTGAAGGCACTAGAGAGTACTGTTGCTGAACTGTGAACTTCTTTTTCAGGAGCGGGCTTACAAGGGAAAGAAAGGAGTTACAGTTTTGTGACTGCTCTCAAATCGTGACAGGACTTAGGGAACCGCTGGAAACAGGATGTCTGCTCATTTCAGACTGTGATGCTGAGATCTCTGAGCTGAAGAGTGTGAAAATAAAGATAATGGCCCTGGTTCAGAATATGCCTGAACCACATATTTTATTTTTTTTCAGACTGGGACGCCAGCTAGGGGAATTGTTACTGTGTCCTTATCCAAGTCAAACAGTCTTCCTTAGGGATTTGCTGTTGTCTTCTCTGCAGAAAGCTATAGTGGAGTAAATGGAGCTTTGGCTTGTCTTTTCTCTTGCCATATTGTTGCTCATTTCGGTTTGGAGGGCAATATGGTACACAGCCATGCAAAATAAACAGTGTGAATACAGAAGCTGCCTAGTCACCATCGTGTGCTGCCGTACGAAACTGGGGTGATACACCAGACATGAGGTCTTCTTTGGGGTCTGAGCTAGCTCCTTGGGAGCCAGCTGGCTGTTGGTATTATAGTTTTGGTGTAAGGGTTGGCTGAGGGGTTGGCTCCCAGCCAGCAAGGACAAAGTGACGTAAAACCTCGTGAGTGATGATTGCACAAAGCCTCAGGAACATAGGTTATTTTAAATGCATTATTAATAGCTGCTGTGGATGATATCTGGATTCTTAATGGCTGGAAATCTTTCTGTCATGATGAATATTCAACCTTTTAGTCTCATGGTGCATAAGAATCAACTTTCGATGGAAAGTTTTTGTTTTGTCCTTTTGTTGGTAGCACCTCAGTTAAATATGTCAGATACTTTGAAGCACTGGTTTTAAATATTCCAGGGGAAATTGAAACAGAGAGCTATATATTTTAAACCTGATCCCCACAGGTATGTAGTTAATGTGGCTTTCTTTTAGGGCTGGAGACCAGATACACGGGCTACTCGTGGTCCTCGCCCACCAGAGTAAGTCTGCCTCTGTTTCTGATCAGTTTGTTTAATTCTGCATTATTAACACAATGCATTTGCATTTGTATTGATATGCAACTTGGTGTTCCATGAAATTTGTCATCATAGGCTTGTTTTCTATGATTTATATTTAGAGTTGAATATTTGATGCATTATTTACATTGGAATAAAGTTGATTTACATTACTTTGAGCTTTATAGTTGAGTTGTACTCGGAGCTTTCACATTTATACTTAGTCTTTCTTGAATATTCTAATGTAGTAGTCTGCAAAAGGAGAAAAACCTTGACCTTTTTTGCAGGTATTACAGTATAAATTACAGAGCAACTGTTATGAAGGGTTTTACAAGCAGTGGAAAATTTTGTACAGTGCTTATAAAATTTAAGTGACTTCTTCAGACTAGCAACATCTGCTATTCCAAGGACTATGTTTGACAGTTTAGTTTTTCCATTTACTAGAATGCCTTACAGCCAAAGTAACTTTCTACATTATTTTACAAGTATGTGTGACCATGACCTTGGATTGTTCATATTGAACATCAATTTCTGTGTGCTCTCAGCCATTCTATAAACAGAAAAGACTGGAAATTAAAGAGCTCTTTTATTCCAAGAAGTAATATTGTTACAGTAGGGTTGTTTGGAAATACTGGTGGTAAAATTAAAGAAAAAAAAAAGTATGCATGGTACTACAGGGTATACCTGGAGTAAAGGCAGAAGGCACAGAGATGCTTTGGTGAGTTGGGGATGTTTTGATTACTTTAAGAATACAATACTGAAGTATAGTTGGCTTCCATTGTGTTAGTCTCTTACAAAAAGTTCAGAAGGTTTTCATCCCAAGGATCTATTGCTCCTCTGCTGCCTCTGTTGACTGATTATAGAGGGGTGTTGACACAGGCCTGCTGTGGAAGACAAGATTTATGGTCCTGTTGAATCAATAAGGAATCCCTGATTTATGATCTTGTTGCAGCAGCTCCTGTTGGGGAGTGAAGAGAAGCCAAGGTGGCCATGCTGGGAGTGAAGAAAGGCTTTGTAGGGGCCCTTTTTGGCTGCTGGGGTACTCTGAAACTGGGAAAGAGGAAAAGCTCAGTGGCGAGTTCTGGTGCTGAAGCAAGAGGGGCTAATAGGAATTTGCTAAGTATGCCATCTCTAGTTGTACTGAAACTGTTCATAGCTGTGAAATTTTTTTAGAAGGAGCTACTAACAGTAACTAAAAAGTAGTTTGCTTTTACTGTAATTGAAAAATAAGAGAATGTATTGCTATTAAAATAGTTTTAACTTCCTGCAGGGTGCCATGCCTAGATCTAGGGAGGCTGAGAGATTCTGATGAAGAGGTAATTATGAATTACTTCTGTCTTGAATACTTTTTCGAATTTGTGTGTTGTGGGAGTTTATAAAAATAGCACTCTGAATATAAAACAATTATGATTGCTTGTCTTTTTTGTTTTCTGTAATTTTAGGATGGGGACTCTTACATACCATACAGTGGAAGTTATCTTCATGCATGCCCTCTGGATTCATCTTCAGATTGGAGAATATTACAAAACCCATATACACAGCATTATCAGGCTCAACAGGTCATTCTGTCACTACAAATATCTTTAAAATATCATAGCATGGTTTGGGTTGGAAGGGACCTTAAAGATCATTTAGTTTCAACCCACCTGCCATGGGCAGGGTCTCTTGCCACTGGACCAGGGTGCTCAGAGCCCCTATAACAGTAATTTAGAAAAATATGCTTAGCTTTCTTACTCAAGTTGTCTTTTTTTTTTTTTTTTTTCTTATGGCTAAACTTGTATCTCCAAGTGCTATTGGTCCAAAATATTTTTGGAAAAGTACTTTTTACTGAGAAGCTTCTAGAATATTTTAAAAATTCCATTTTATTATGTAACTTAGCTCTTCTTTGTTGGTTGATATGCTCATCCTTTTCACTGTGCTCGTATTTGAAGAGATATATTAATAGCCACGTTTATGAACAGTTTGTCAAAGCAACTGAAAAATGTAATACTTTTGAGGTAGCATGTAGCTTTGGTTTTTCTTTCTAAACAAAGTGAAACTTACAAAAATAATAAAGTTAAGATGGATAGTAGTGAGTAAGTGTATGATTGAAGACAAAACCCAAGTTTACAAACAGTAAGTATTATTCCTATGGAAGAATAGTTACTTTTGGTGAAATGAAACTTTTGGAGTTACAGACGGCCATTTCTTAATGGCTTTTTCTGAAGTCTCATCTTTAAAACAGAACTATGATGTTAACTTTGGGATTATAGCCAATCTGTTGCATCATTTTTATTGTTAAAATTTCTTGTTCACATATCAGCATATTTTTCCCCTGGATGACTAAGAAACTTAATCACCACTAATCTTAGGTGCTTTATAAGGGAAATCAGTAGTTCATATGCTAACACTCTGGTTTATAGTTCAGTACAGCTCTGAGAGGGACTCTTGATCAGGGACTATAGCTATAGAACAAGGGGTAATGGGTTTAAAGTTAAACAGGGGAAGTTCAGGTTAGATATAAGGAAGAAGATCTTTACTGTGAGGGTGATGAGATACTGGAAGGGGTTACCCAAAGAAATGGTAAATTCTTCATCCCTGGAAGCGTTCAAGGCCAGGCTGGACAGATCCTTGGGTGACATGGGTCTAAGGTGAGGCATCCCTGCCCATGGCAGGGGTGTTGGAACTAGGTGATCTTAGGGTCCTTTACAACCCTAACTATTCTGTGATTCTATACGTATAAATACCTTACATAATCATGGTAAAAATCTTACTACTAGCTGTATGTTTTTATTTGGTTAGCATGCAGGATATACCTGAACTTAACAATGTTATCTCCTTTTGGGAGAATTGGAAAACACTGTTAAAAAAATCTGTTATTTCAAAAATATTTAATGTACATAAGCCTAAGAAATCCTGTAATAAGTGTGTTTAAAACAGAATTGTAGCTAGAGGGAAAAACAATTATTAATTAATTTGTACATAACCTATGCCCCTTGAAACGATTAATATAGCAACAAGGCAGTATTCCAAACTGGCTCAAGCTCAAGGTGAATCTGCCAAGGTCATAATTCTATATGTTTCCCTGTATAGCCAAGTGGTTTTTCAATATTAAAAAAATAAGAATGGTATTTACATAAAAACTAAATTCGTTAAGTATGGGGTTTTGTTTGTTTGATTTGTTTTTTGTGTTTTTTTTTTCTTTTTGTTTTCTTTTTAAATAATGGACAAAGATATCCTCAGAATATCTCAGAATATCTTTGTGCTCAACATAGGTATTTATACATGTCATAAGGTGTTTCTGAAAACATGTAATTAGGGATAGGTTAATTTCCTCTGTACTGCATTGCAGACGTGCAGTGGAGACATGCTTGAGTTGCTATCCTCTTTTCAGGTCTGTATGCCTGTAATTTCACTGCTTGCTTTACCTTTTTTTTTTTTATTTTTTTTTTTTAATACAAAGTTCATATGTATAATTCTGTCTACCTTCAGGAAGGGTAATGAAAGGTTGGTATGGCTTTGTCTGTTTCTTAGGCTCTTTCTCCCTTTCTTCTCTACTTTATCTCTTCTTGCTTCCTTTCTGCTTCGTTATGCCTTAAATAGTGAAATGCTGAATATGCAGGAACGTGTCTTCTGTTCACTTACCCTCTTTTGCTCTTCTTCACTCTCTCATTTTGCCTGACTTCCCCCTTTATTTTTTGTGGAGAAGATTTTCAAGTAGTCCTAAGGTATTTTAACACATCTCTCTGAGTGGCCTTTCTTTCTGCATTGCTTGCTTCTGGGGCCCTGATGAGCATTCCTTTAGCAAGATATATTCCAGCTTCTTCAATAACAGACTATGTAAGTAAATCTTCCCAAAATAGGTCACTTTTTGAAGAATAATTTAGGCATACTCTTACCATTCAGGAATTAACCAGTGAAGGGATGTGGATCCTCTTTTGAAAGAGAAAGCTGCCTTTTCAAGAACACAAATCTGAGGTTTTGAGAAATGGTTTTCTAGAACAGGACTGTTATACTGTTGTTGCAAGATGAGATGCTAGGTAAGACCATCTTAGTTTTGTTAGTGTTGAGGAATATGTTAGTTATCTAGGGAGAGAAAGAATAATGGAGTCTTGGCCTTCTGTCACTGCTGCTGTTCCTACTGATCCAGCCTCCCTTGTGTAGAGCACCGAAGTGGACATAAAGTTAGGAAGGTACTTAGCCTTGTCAGCTCATGATGTCCTAGGGGAGGAATTCCGAGTACTAACACTCATCTGCCATCCAAGAATTAGAACTTCAGATTGAAAAAATCCATCAGCCCATTTTCAGCCTTAAAAAATCAAATGTCAGAATTCCCATTTTTGTAGTCTGTAACATTATATTGTAGGACAGGACCACTGAATCTTTGCTTCTCTCTTTAAATGTGATATAAACCCATTTAGGTGTGTCCTTTCTAGATTAAAAATGGCAGAATATGAAGAACTCTATGAAAATTAAGCCTGAATATGGAGTCCCATTTCCATTTTTTATTTATATGAAGCAGAGTGTCAAGAAGTTTCAGAAGTTATACTGGATGGGAATCATTATAATGCTGTTCTTATTCAATAGATAAACCAGAGGCTTTTATTATTGATTATTATTTTTTTTTCACTTTAGCGTTCTGTTTTGGAGCAGAAGACAATACCAGAAAATCTGCTATCCACAACAGACAGATATAAAGTGAAGTATCAGCAGTATGAAGCAGATATGAAGGAAGAATATAAGCAGTATTCTCAGAGAACTGCAGAAAAGAAAAATTACCTCCTCCAGTGTCCAGAAGCTTCAATAAAGGTAGCTGGCAAAGAAGCAATTTAATTTTTAAATAGCAAATGTACATTGGTATTTCATTACAGTGTTTGGAGAGGTTTGCATGTGTGCATGATTAATTTCTTCCGTGTTTTTATTGTAAAGAAATAAAAAATATAATTTCAGCATCTAATGTTGAGTAGGAAATAAAATATAGGAAGGTTGTTTCAGTTGTTCCAGAGTGAGAAACTGAGGTGCTCTGATAATCTAAGTATGCGTGTATTCTCTGTTAAGAAATGTAACATTTGCCCTCAGTGTATCTCTAGCCTGAGCATGAAGATTAGCATGATTGATAGGAAAGAGTTTGCCATCTAAGAAGATGAAAGACAGCAGGAAGATCTTGACAAAATGTTATTTCCAAATATAGAAATGCATTTAAGCTTTTTTATTTTTTTAAATGTAGAAGTATATTAATTATTCTTCTATTCAATTATGACTGAATATGGAACTTAAAAAAGAACTGAAAGATGTAGTCTGTAACTTAGAGAACTACTGACTGAAAATGGAAAGGAATATGGGGTTAAAATAAAGATATTATCTGTACTTTTTGCTTTGGCACTGTGAAAAATCCAGCACAGTTGGACCGCAAGCTGTATTAATTCTGCTAGGTTTCTTTTGTGTTTTTAAGTTAAAACTAAGATGCAAACAAGGGAAGATCAGTGGCAAGAAACTGGAAAACAAAGGGATGAAAAAAATCCCAACTTTCTTCTTGTTTTGGAAAACAGAATGGGAAAGGGTGATTGGAGAGAGCAGGATATTGTAGGTATAAGGAAAGAGGAAAGACAAGAAACACTTGTGAGCACTGGCTGAATGCTGTTCAGCGCTGAGGGTAGATGACCATTTTAAGAATCTTAACGAAAAGTTAAATATGTAAATGTTGAAGGAACATATTGTGCTTGTTGCTTTTCAGAGAAAAGGGTTGTGAGGAATAGCAAGTTTACTGATTTTTATTTGCTTAATGTTCAGTAGAATGGAAAGGAAAGGTCTTGTATAAGACAAAGATTGTTTCAGGTATTGTTGTTAATGTTTTGCATGTATTGTTGATTGATAGTTTTAAAGGAGCCTTCTCCTCTTATAGTCATGCTTCTAGTGTTCAAATAAAAGCAAGTACCTATAAGTAAACATTCTGTGAGTAAACGAGTCAAATGGAAAAAAAAGTTCTGCTTTTTCTTTTCTTTTTTTTTGTGTTTGGTGGCAGCTAAAATTGACGGTTCTGGGGATTTGTTGTAGTATTACCTTTTTGATTAATAATTCCTCTGTACCAGTCTGACACTGTCCCGTTGTCTATTTTCTAAGGAGTGACTGCTTTATGTTATGTACTACAAACCCATCGAAAGGATATGTACAGGAGTGGCCAAATTAATCTGAAACTGAAGAAATAGGTGGCAAGTGTTTAATGTGAGAGAAAAAGCAGGACTGCTTATTCTGATGATTTTGGGTTCCAGAAAAATACTAGAAACCATTAGTGTCATTTTTTAATGACAGACTTTATTGTAATGTCTATCACAGTGATTTTCTGAGTTAGATGTTAGCACTACCTGATTAAATTAATAAATCAAAATCTCTTTACATTTCAAGATAATTACTATTTTATCTGATTAGTGGAACTTGTAATAGCTTCTTTTCAGAGAAGAAAAGTTGCTCTTAGAGGAGCATAGCTAACAAAACCTACTGGTGTGAGTTCTTTCCTGTGTTCCCTTCTTCCTGACTTCAGTAAACAGTCTCATGTGCCAGTTTTCTTAACAATCCTCCATGTAGGAGAGATTTTCATAATCCCCTCAGACTGATTTACAAGTCTGTTAGACTCAGTTCAGCTTTGGCTTTTCCCTGTCTAGACTGTATTTAATTTTTTTGTTGGTCAGAAAGCAGCATCTTTGCAATGGTGAACTTTGATCTCTATGCATGATGGCAAATCATAGAACCAGTCAGTTTCTTTTGGCTCTTGAACAGAACAGAGTGGATGAGCTCTCGCCTTCCTCAGGGAGGTGTTAACAGTCTACCTTCTCTGACTTGCTGCTGATTTTTCACAAGGTTTGTACAAACACAGTATTATTGAGATCTTTATTATTTCAGTATGGTTGATAGTTGGTAAGTATTCAAAAGGTATAAGGAAAGACTAGAAAGCAAGATTTATGAGTTCAGTTTCTGTAGAAAGCTAGACATTAAAAAAACCTTTTTCTAATTGGCAAGAAGTAGACAGAAAGAAAGAAAATCAACTTTTAAATAAAAAAAAAACTTTTAAATAAGTTGTTGAGGAAAATGTGTGTGGATTTTTCTTACATTTAACTAAATTCGATTTATGAGAAGCTTGTATTTTTGTGTAGGGTACACAGCTTAAAGACGGACATAATGATGATCTTACAGCTCTTGATGAGAAAGCTCTCCTGCAACAGTGCTATACAAGCAAGCCCTATAAGATGATGCACAGTATAAGGAAATCCGAAGCTGTAAGTGTTTTGGCTGGTATTATGCTGGTACTGTCTAGATTTCTAGAATGACTTCCCAGATGTTCAACTGAAGTTAGGCCTTTGGTGATTTGGTCTTAGTATATAATTTCACCCACTGAAATCGTGGTAGTTTAAACATTTGCTTCAATGGGAGCTGAACTGAGCAGTCCAGTGAGCAATTTTTTTTAATCTTACCTGCAATGCTTGTATTTTATGCAATTATACACTTATATACACTTATATACACTTATATACACTTATATACACTTATATACACTTACTTATATACACTTATATACACTTACTTATATACACTTATATACACTTACTTATATACACTTATATACACTTACTTATATACACTTATATACACTTATATACACTTACTTATATACACTTATATACACTTACTTATATACACTTATATAATGTATATAAATAAGAATGCAAATTATGAATAAAAAATATATACATACGACTAAGATTAACTGTGAGTTGAGTGAACCTAAGTAGTGTTACATTTCCTCTGGTGTGTAGCTTGTACCTCAGCCTGTATTCCATGATCTGTGGATTCCATCAGCTCTTACTCTGACTTGTTTCTAGAGTAAATGGGATGTTTTCCCTCATTAACTCCTGAAATGGACTATGCGATGAGAACTGGCTTTTAAAGCTGTATGGGCTCTGCTGATGATGTTAGACTGGGTCAGCCACAGGTTTGGTTGGAAACTGCAAGGATGGAGTTTCTGCAATATCTCTAGGCAACATCTTCCTGTGATACAATATTTTGCTTATGAAGAAGTTCTTCCTTTTTATTATCCATATAAGCCTCCCAAGGCTCAGTGTGTAACCTTTGCTTTCTGTTACACTGCCAGTGTCAGAAAACATTTGCTTCTGTGTTCATTGTAGCTTCCCTTTGGTTGTAGATGTTTTTTCAGAATGCCTCATAGCTGCTGCTTCTACAAACTAAACAAACCCAAGCTCCCTTAGCCTGTCCTTTCAGTTGCTTTGGCTCTGATCCTCTGTCAGATCCTTTCCAGGTTCTTCTCATTCTTATTGATCTTGGGAAGGAGGGAGCCCTGAAAACTGGAACCAAGTATGGCTTCACTTGCCCATGTAGAAGGGATTTAAAAATTGAATAGGCATACCCAATATATTAAAGAAATATATTGGGTATGCCTGTTTAATTTTTTAAATTAAAGAAATTTCTTACGTAGACATGTTTTTCACTTTTTTTAGGACTGGACAATAGGAGTCTCCCCTATTTAAGGCTAAGCTTTGAATTTTGAATAATTTATAATGATGAAGAACCTTGAGATTTGATATTGCATGGTTCAGTATTTGAATGTGCAGTGATGGCTTTTATAACTGGTTTTTGACAGCATTCTAACTTTCTCATGGAATACTAAGCCATGAGAAATTATATGAGATTGTAAAAGTAAATAAAATTTTTATTTATTCTGTTTGCTCATCACTATGCACTGCATTTTGCATCATTGCAAGCATTTATTTGGCATATTGCATTACTGAGGTCACTATTCATTTTCATGGTAAACAAAAAATCTTTTCAGAAAGCACTTTCATGAAGAACTTGAGGAACCTCATGTTTGTTACTTTTAGAATAAATTTAAAAATTGAGACTATAAGGTGAAGATAATTGAAAAAATTCTGAAGTATCATTAGGGTAACTACTTAATGTTAAATCAAATAAGCAGAAAACACTGAGAAAGGGAGCAGTGCAGGACCGCAACAGGTGCTTTAAAAGGAAGCCAGCAGGTATCTGAGCAATGTGTCACTGGGACCTTTAGAAGACCTTTTGTTACTGATTAGCATTCATGGTTGCGCAGGCTGGCTGACTCTTTCTAGGAGCTTCTCTTAGGTTTTCTCAGGTTCAAGCTTCTGCTAGTGATAGGAGTAATGGAGAAAGTCAGAAGCAGTAACAGCATATGTATTAATTCCATTGGGTGTATGTTGCCTCAGTCGTTGGCATTTGATTTTAAGGTGCTTTAAAAATTTGCCTAAGAATACACAATGTTAACATTTCCTTTTACTGTAATCATTGCAGAAAACTTTAATGTTGAAGATCTCTTAAGTTTTCTGTAGTTTGGGATGAAAGTTCCCTTTATTCAAGACAGATTATAGTAAATGTATCAATGCCAATAGATGCTATATATAATAAAAGTAGGTTTTGGGGGAAGAAGATTGGTTTTCTCTGAATAATTGTATTTTGTGAACAAGAGTTACTACTTTTTAACCGGAAAGAGCTGCTGCAAGTTCAATGTTTACCTCAGCAATATTGTAAATTGACAGTAGAGCTTTTGTCTAAGAGCTGAATGGAGGATGTTCCATGGACGAGTACATCTAGTGACCTAGAATTCAACTGAAAATCAAGGTGTAAGGTTTCTTTATTTTTAAATGCAGGTTTCTTTCAGCATGCTAGCATGTTTGGCTCTCTAAGCCAGAGTCCATGGAATATGTTATGTTTTAACAAACGTTGCTCTGTATTATTACTGCATCCTCCTTTACATAATGCTTTTTAAAACACCTGTTATGACAGTTAATGGGCAAAGATTCAGTAACTCAGGATATAAGAACCCTGTAGTTCTGATAGGTACAAAAGTTAAATGTGAAAGCAAACTAAAAAGCCTCCTGTCTCTTACAATTCAGAAATCTTTTAAGGCTTAAAATCAGTTTGGAATAAACACCAGCTGGTCTGGTGTTTATTTGAGGGGTTTGGTTTGGCTTTTTGTTTGTTTCTTTGGGTAGTGCCAAACAATATTTACTTGAAGGTTATGAACTGTGCCCAAGACATCTCTGTAGAATTAGGGATTATCCCGTGCAGTTACTTCGTATCTTGGAACCAACTTTCAGTCTTCTTCAGCCATGAAAAGGCTTGATCTATCTAGAATTTGGTTGGCACACAAGAATTGTGTGGAAAAAATAACAGATCGGAAAAATATCTTAATTCTTCATACTCAGAATACCTACAGAGTTGTCAAAAAGGTTGCATAAACCCCAACAATATCTCTGTATTCTCATATTATATATATATATATATATTTTTTTTTTTAAAGAGGCAAATTTAAGTGCAGTGAAAAGGTTCAGAAATCTGGAAGATAAAATGAAGAGAGATGCTGGGGCCTGCTGGTCTCCATGCAGTCCTGGAGCTGCGCTTTGGTTTCTCTTTCTGTGAAACAAATTATGATCAACACGTGAGCACTTTATAGTGAATGACAAAAAGTTATGGTTCAGTGTTACTCTAACAAAAATAATAATATCATGTTAAATCCCTTTCCCGTCAGGATTGGCCTGCTTCAGCAGAAAATTATTGTGGCATGCAGCAAATAAAAACTGGGCCTTGAGACTAAGTTTTAAAAGAATTTTTTGACTAAGTATTGCTCGAGGTAAAGTTTTATTCTCTGAGTTGGAAACTGTATCAAACATGAAACCTGGAACAGTGCAAGTTTCCTTATGCTCTGTTATACTTACAGAATTCATTTCTGTTTGTCAACAGAAATACTAGAATTCTTGTATTTAGTGATAACTAAGTATGACAATTTGAGCATGTAGCAGATATTATTGTATAGTTGGTATGCAAATAAAACTTAAAAATATGGGGAAAAAGATTAATTGTGATACTGGGTAAAATTGTGATGTCTGAATTCTATCTTAAAGGGTAATTCACTGTTTGAATTGTCATTTGCTTCAGTCAGTTTTTCGTTGCAGGAGGATGTTGCTGCAGAAAGGAGAAAACAGGCTGTGATAGAACAAGTGATGGTGGATCAGTTATCTAGGTAAGTGAATTTATAATATAATGTTTCAGTTTTCCCTACAGAAGAATTTGCATCTGTGTGGATTTTCTTGCTTAAGAGCTGTTTTGATCATCTTGTTCAAAGTCTTATGCACTCTATGTAGTGTTGTTATCTGCAAAAATTCTGTAAGTGAAAGGTCTTTTTAACTAAAATATCAGTTTAAAGTGCTATGTATAAAAATATCAGTTTAAAGTGCTAAGTGTAAGTTCATTTTTTTCTGAGAATAGTTTTTGATTTCATACCTGAATCTAATTTAAGGGCTTTACAATAGCACTAGTTCTCAGAAATAACCCTCTTGCACCCCTGCAAAATATATAGATGCCTGCTGTTAAAAATTACACTTCTTCAGTATTTATTGCCTTCTCTAAAAATCTTACCTTTATTAATATTCCTTTATTAATATTGACGCAACATCACTGAAGCATAAAGGAGTATTACAGCAATATTGAGCAGGTGGGGAAAAAAGGCACAATGATGAATCAAGTTCATCAGGGTTGTGTAGGAAGACGCTCTTCATTGCTATCCCTCTAGCTCCAATAAAACATTTGCTTCCATGCATAAAGATCCCTTTATATGTTAAGGAGAAAAAAAAGTGACTTAGAAGTAAAGATGAGTATAGTAAAAACATCTTTTTTTATTATTATCTTTATGATTATTATTGTTCCCATAAACTTCTCATTTTTAAGCATGCTTTAGCAATTCAGGGTTTTATCCAAGTTGTCTGTTTACAGCAATATAGGATGGTGCAGGATAGTTTCAATCAATTTTATGTTACCTTACCCTTGATAAAAATTATCTGTGGGTAGGTCTACAGTATGTTGCATCGTGTGCTTATTTACAATCTCTCTAGTCATCTGTACTGATGTTAATTGTTAAGATCAGATCTTAAGACTTCAAGATTGAAATATTGTTGCACTTCACCATTTTATTTTTTCATTATCATTTCAACTGCAGTTTAAATGACCTATACTGTTTAAAAGTCTGTAAATGTTTTTTTACACTATTTAAAAACTGAGATTTGAAGAAAACTGCCTAAAGAAACAAGATTGTCATGAAACACAACATTAAATTCCAAGTGACAATGTAGCAGGATTTAAAATATGGAAATGGTCAGTGCAGAAGTCCCCAACTTTCAAAGAAATGCTTGTCCCATATGTGTACAAAGGTATAGGTAAAGCAGTTGATTTGAATTAGATGAGTACCAGCGTTATCTTAATGTGCTGGTTGTGTTGAAGTGTTTCAGTTCTTCTTTGGATTAAACATACCAGTTTGTGCATCTTGGATCACGGATGTTCATTCTGTGCTTAACCTCCTTCAGCTACTTTGCCTTACTTTTTCCCATGCATTCCTTCTGCTATTCTGAACCCTTCTGCTGTCAATGTCAAAACAATATTCAGGAGTGCTGCAGCTGCATCAGGATGATCTTTTAATTTAAGAAACCTCTCTGTTTATGTTCCAAATATAACTGTGCCAGTACTGCCAAACAAATTGGTATCTGAGAGCAGGATGTTAATTGGAGAAGATTAGTTCAAAACTGTTGCATGAAAAGAATCTATTAAAGGAAACACAAAGGTGTTTTGAGGTTTTTGTTTTCCATTATTCTTTTTAGTAGAGCCAATGTCACAGTTAAATCAGTGTAACTGATGTGTACGGAGATGGATCTCCATAGATCAGAGAGCAAGTTTCTGAGGCTGTATTAGCAGTGCAAAATTACTGTTTTGTTCTATGAACTATTTCAATCAAGAAATGTAAGAATCTAATTTCTTTTTAAAGGATGTCTTCTTTTGTTAACTTATTAAATTGATACAGAGAATATCAAAATACTCAGAAACCAATGAATCTATATATTTTCTGCTTAGTGGGAGTGTGGGCAGTACTTTGTGGGAGGAAGTGTCAATGTTTTTATTGGATGATGTCACTGGCCAGTACTAGTAATCTGCTGCCAGACAAAATCTGCTGTCACTGATCTTGGAGGGACACATGGATAAAGAATGTCATTGGTGGAATATTTACATAAATAGTGGAAGTGAGGAAAAGAACACCTTCTATAACACCAAGATTTGGTTTTCTATATACATATCTAAAATATACTTTAAATAACACATATATCTATGTGAAGTTACTATATAGAATATGATTGGATATAATTGATTTAGAGCAATAGACCTCAGAATTGGTAAGAACAAAAAAATGCGCCCACAAATTTATGCAAGCTTAATGGATAACTCCCAAGATTTTATTGCAGTGTTATTCTTGTGTTTTGTTTTTGTTTTTTTTTTTTTCTTTCTTGAGTAAGAATATATAAGTTCTGAAATTCAAACTTACTAATAGTCAGAGGCTTCTCCCTGCTCTTTCTGGTCAGAGCTGTTATAAGTGATCCAGAGCAGTCCATGCCTGCTGATGTTTACAAGGAAGCTCAAGGACTTCTTCGAACTGGGACAGCACCGATGTGTCTTAGAAAGAGAACACTGCATGAAACAAAGTAAGTTTTCTCTAGCAAAATACATTTCCTGCTGTATTTTTTACTGTTCTGGGCTCTGAAAAGTTTGTTTGCTTTTCCAGGTGTTTTATTTCTGGCTTGGATCACCAGCTCCATGTGATGCCTTTTTTGTAGCCTCCCCATGCTTATAATTGCCTAGTGGGATTTTTCACGTGGATTCTCTGTGTATAATGATTGTTTCACAGGATTTATAAAACCTGGGAGAACATTCTTAAGCTTGTGTTGATATTGTTCATCACAGGGTTTTGCCAGCCTTTTCTGAGCTGTTGAATTCTTGCAATCTTGTCATACCCTTTTAGAGATTCCTTTTCTGAGGTGCATAAAATTGCATAAATATGCATCCTTAAATGCTAATGTAGATCTTTGCAATATAATCATACTTTTCTTTCATGTCTTGATTTTTTGCTGCAGTAATTAGCTATATTGACGTTTAAATGTCATTCCTGGCCTGTGAGCATTGAAACAGTAATTCCAAGGGCTTAAGAAAACTGTGAAAATACTGTGATCGTTAAGATAAAGGGAATCTGCAGGTGTGAGTTTTGTTGTGTTAATCCTTCTCAACATGCAGGCAAACACCTCTGCTTTGTACATTTTAACATCCTGCTCTAAAGTCTTTCTCAATAAACATCATCCTTGTATTCTTAAAAAAAAAAAAAAGCGGACAACAAAACCAGTCTCAATCTCTTACATCCATCACATGGACAAATCTCTGTGTCTTGAGCTAGTCATATGTCCAGTATAAAATATATAGGTGGGTAAAGTAGCCCAAGTTGGTATTTGTGCAAAATACACTGAGTGGCAAAGGTTTAATTCTTTATATAAATGTGTGTAAACAAAATATCCCATTCATATCTATGCCTTCTCTGAATGTACTCTCGTAATATATAATTACAGAACACCTTCCACGTTACAAGTCTGAATTGCTTTCTAATTCAACTATGCAAGATCATCTCAGCCAGTTGCCAAGGATACTGCATTTCACATTTTTTGCTGTTTTGAAACAGTTGCTTTTTATGTAAGGTTTCTCTGTGAGCACATAGGTATCATTAACATGCTGCATTATTTTGACAGAATACGGACCAAATCAGGATTAACTGAAAACATGCTCTCTAACAAGTTACGCTTTGACAGTAGGATTATATCGAGGTAATCAAAAATTCTGTGAAGCTTTTTCAATTCTATGATTTTATGAATGATGATCTTTACTCTCCTGAACTAATCAATTGCACCAAATGTTTCTGTTCTCTGTGTTTAGAAAAAAGTATGTGCTGTGTGGGTGTGTGTATATATATATATATATGCATAAGTGTATAATACAAATTTTGACATGGGTGGTACAAAGTGGCTTTACAGTCCTGTTGTAGAATATCGATATGCATAAATAATGTTACATTACCATCATATCCATAGCTCCATGTAGGACAGTTAGCACAGGGGCTGTTTAAAATAGTGCTCTTAGCTGTTGCACCTTAGTTGATGAAAAATTATTTTAGCCTGTCATGGTTTAAGCTCAGCTGGTAACTAAGCACCACACAGCCACTCCCTCACCCTCCCTTTCCCTGCCCCTGCCCCAGGCAGAGATAAGAAGGAGAATTGAAAGAATGTAAATCCCATGGGTTGAGATAAAACAGTCCAGTAACTAATACTAAACATAATACAAAACTACTATTACTACTGGTAAGGGAAGTAACAAGGGGAGAGAATATAAAAATAAAAGGGCAAAAGGAAAAAACAACAAACACAAGTAATGCACAATACAATTATTCGCCACCCACTGACTGATACCTAGCCCGACCCAAGCAGTGATCTGTTTTTCTGGGTAACACCCCCCCTGGTTTATATGCTGGGTATGATGTGCTGTGGTATGGAATACCCCTTTGACTAGTTTGGGTCAGGTGTCCTGTCTCTACTCCCTCCTGGCTTCTTGTGTCCCTCCTCAATGGCAGAGTATGAGACACTGAAAAGTCCTTGATCCAGAGTAAGGACTACTTAGCAACAACTAAAACAGTGGTATGTTATCAGCATTGTTCTCACACCAAAGCCAAACCACAGCATTAGGAAGAAAATGAAATTAGTGGTATGAGCTACTAGGAAGAAAATTAACTCAATTGCATCCAAAACCAGGGCATAGCCTTGTCTTAGTATGTGGCAACTGATGTGAATGGAAAGGATGGCTTTGTGTCTTGTTTGCAACTCCTTATGTATTAAACTTTCACGTTTAGGACATCTTTGAAAGTGCTCTGAATTGAGTAGCAGTGCCATAAGAATTCTTCAGCTCTGAAAGTGGCTTTTTCTGAAGAAGTGAGCTGTATAGCTGTTAGGCATAGCTGGGGATTCAGCCACATAGCTTCATGTGCCACAGTAAATGCAGTAGTCCTGGTGTAAGTAATCCTTTAGTTGACAAGTGAAAATTACATTGGTATACTAAAGCCTGAAGCCTTGAAAAGTGTTTTTAACATTATGGAGAATGGAATATTGCATTAAAACACGCCTCCAAATCCAGATGTTGAAGTCCATGGTGGGTTAGGGAAAATAGCCAGATACCTCTGTCAAAGAAGAAGATTTTACAATATGCAACACTGGCAATTAAATTAATATTTCAAAACAAATTTGTTTTTATTTGGGTTAAATTGTATTTATATAGATGCAAAAACATAAAGGTGCTTTACAATTTTCCTTCTAGAAATGGTCGCGATGCTTGTAGAGAGTTGATTGGATTTTTCTTTGCATGTGACAGATCCCTTACTGTGTATGAATTTCGGCAGTTTGGAAAAAATAGGTAGGATGAATTACTTTTTTCTTTAAAGGCTTTCGAAAACATTTTTCACTGTATCTAAGAAACTTATATAAATTCAGTTGTTTTAATAGCGGTTTTGAATTATTTCACAGAACAAATGCCTTGCCTTTCATTCAGAAGGGAGTTTATCAGCATCAGCGTGGACAAAAGAAGGAAAAAGCTTATGATCTTAGTGACTTCTATATTGTAAGTGTTCTGCTGCATGTAAGGCAACTTACAGATTTGGGAGTAATATTTAGATATTCAAGTTGAAAATTGTGATTTAGGTTTCAGGGAAGACCTAAAGTTTTTCCCTCAGTTCCATTTTCAAATTAGGGATTTTCAGGGTTCTGGATTGTTTTGCTGTCCCATGTTTTAGACATTTTTGGTTTTATATTAAGCTGTAGTTTGCAATTTTCCCACTAGAGGGTACAAGACTGCAGACAGTGGAGACCTTTTGTGGGGCAAAAGATGAACAACTCGAGAAGGAGAGTTTTGAAGTAGACCAAAGTACTTGTTAAAAATTAGTAATCTTTGGAAGGTCTGCTGGCATTTTTGACAGGAGGCAATGATTAAATATTTTTTAATCATGACGAAATTGAAGGCTGTTTTTAACCTAAACTTTGAAAGCGTTTAGCACCAGCTGTTTAGAGAAAACTTTTGAAACGATGGTTAACTTCACCTACCTGCTAGTCTAATGACTGAGTACAAATCATACTGCATCTTCTGTACTGAGGTACTTCTGTAGTGGGTTAAGTGCTCCTGATTTATAAGTACTTGAGCAATTTCTCAAATACAGAGTGTTTCCACTGAGTTCTTCACATTCTCCTGCAAATCTTAAGTTTAGTGCAAAAACCATTTTTGAATGAAGTATTGAAAGTAAAAGTATTGAAAGTAAAAGAAGAAAGCATTACTTTTTAGAGTGTTTTGACTTATGAGCTGCCTAATCCTAACTATTTACATGTGGCTATGGCATAAGAGTTTCCAAGATGTAATAGATTACTTTCTTTATGGTGTGGAGGTTGAAGTTATTTTTTTAAAGTTTTAAGGTTTTGGTTTTGTTTTTTTTTTTAATTGTCACGTGTATCTTTGCAACCTGCAGATGGAAATGTGCAGGTTCTGAATAAAGCTGTTTCTTAAAGGCATCAAGAAAATTATTGTGACTGAGTTGGATAGCTCTTTGGGATGATGTTATACCTCTGAATCTCCATATCTGCAAATTGGGTTTCTAGGCTGCCATTAAGATATACAAATGTCTCACAAAGCAGAAATGGTTGAGACATTTGCACAATAGCAGTGTCTCTGTTTCTTTCCCAGTTTATGAGTTTTGGGGGCTTCATAGTGCAATCCTGCATGGATATTACTTACAGCTATTGTTTTGGGGTTTTTTTTTTGAGTCTTCTTGGCATTTTTTGCATTCAGTTTGTTGCTTTTCTTTATCTCTCCTTCCCTCTTCTTCCAAACCAAAATGCATCTTTAACTTCACAGAATGTGTGAGGTGTGTCCTCTGTCCTCAAGAGAGAAGAGGAATTTTTAATACTCAGACTTTATTGGGTAATAGAACTCTACTAATAACGTATTTTTGTTCAATATCTATTAATGAAATGCAGCAATTTTTAAGAGTAATAGTTAAGCATTGCAGGAATTATTTGAATTTTAGGAAGGCTACTTTTCAGTTGTTTATCTCAAGTAAGATTTTAAGCTATTGAAAGTAACTGTAGAGGGTTTCTTCTAGTCTGAGAGAATTTCACTGTCATGGAATCAATGTGGCACCTTCTGTGACTCTCTTCTGTGGTCCAGCAAGATCTCATAAGGATGAAAGGAAAAGTAAAAATTGAAAAGTAGAGCCTGGCTGAGGTATCTGTAGTCTCTTTTTTCTCATCTGTAGAGTAGGCAGCAGTAGGCCCTCTTGCTAGACAAACTGGTACCTAGAGAATAATGTGTCATCTTGGAGCCTGCAGCTGTTTTTATTTAGTATTAGAAAAGCTCTTTTAAAAAGGTTAACTGACCTTAGCTACACCTTTTCATCATTTCATGCCAAGGCTTTTAACAATCGCTTGGAAGTCTTGCAGAATGTATTTTATAAAATGCACAATCTTTCTATAAATCATTGTATGCTTTATCAACAGGGAGCTAACCTAACTTTCCGAAGTGCTGATCATAACCTTCCAGAAAGTGTTAAACAGAACCCAATTTTCACCCTTCGTGTGATAAGTATTGATGAAGCAGCTATGGATTCTCTAAAGTAAGTGCAGCTGGTTTTCAAATTATCTTTCCTTCCTTCAGCAAAAAACATTTTTTATAATAAGAGCTTCTAATATCTTACTACTCATATTGCTAAAGAAAAATATATTTAGGCTGTTGTTAGAGGCATTAGTAATATATGAGTGTAATTCAGTAATTTTCTAGAATGATAACGATTAATTTTAAAATAAGAATTATGAAACTGTCTTGAAGTCAGATGCTTTTATATACAAATACTGAAACTTATGCAATGACCTAAAATTCTGTGTTTGGGAGAAAATGCTTTTTTTTGTCATCAACAGTATTAGTATTGACTCTTTCGTGAAGCTTACATTAAAAGCTTATATCACTCATAGAATGGTTTTGGTTGGAAGCGTTCTTAAAGATCATCTAGTTCAATCCCCCCTGGTGGGGAGGGACACCTACCACTAGACCAGGTTGCTCAAAGGCCCATTCAACCTGGCCTTTAATACTTTCAGGGATGGGGCCACCACAAATTCTCAGATCAACTTGTCCCAGTGTCTCACCACCCTCGCAGTAAAGAATTTCTTCCTTACATCTAACCCAAATCTCCCATCTTTCAGTTTAAAGCCATTACCCCTTGTCGTGTCACTACATGACCCTGTAAAAAGTCCCACTCCAGATTTCTTACAGGCCCCCTTTAGATACTCAAAAGCCTCTCCTGAGCCTTCTCCAGGCTGAAAAAGCCTAACTCTCTCAGCCTTTCTTCATAGGAGAGGTGCACCAGCCCTCTTAGGATAATGCAAGTGTTTGAACAAGGGCAGGGGAAAGATTGGAGGTTTTGCTTTTTATTTTTTCTTTTTCACTTTCTTTTTCCTCCTTCTTCCTATCCTTTCTTTTTTTCAGAACCACATGTTTGCCACATGTTGAAGACTTCAGGCACTGGGATAGGATTTCTGCACTTATTCTTTCAAAATAGGTTTTAGTAAATTATATTGTTCCATAGTTTGAAAGATGGGGGTCTCTTAAATAATTTTCCCATGATTAGGCGAATGGTTAATCTTTTGAGTATGTGTTAATTTTGAAGGTATTATTTCAGTGCGTATACTGAAGTAAACTGTCTAGGTAATAAAGCATCTTTCTGTGGGGTTTGTGGCTTTTCCTGTGAGTGTACTGGTTTGTAGTACAAATAAAATCTCAGTATAAAATTTGTCACACTGTGTTGCTTGAATATGGCAGTTACTTAACAGTGCTGGAAATATAGTCAGGGCTTGATTACTCAATTTTTGGTGAGGAGTGTTAGCCAATAGCAGATGTTACAAGTCGAAATTTTCATCAAATCATGGAATCGTACAAAGGGACCCCACCCCAAGAGGGCATCAAGTCCAACCTCCCTGCTCAGAGCCGGGTTTACTACAGCAGGTTGCTCAGGGCTGCATTCAGTTTTGTTTTTAAATATCTCCAAGGATGGAGACTCTGTAACTTCTTTGGGCAAATGTACTCCAGTGTTCAATCACCCTTGCAGTCCAGAAGTGTTTCCTGATGTTCAGAGGGAACCACTTGTGTTTCAGTTTGTGTCCATTGCCTCTGGTCTTGTCACTGGGCTCCACTGAGGAGAACCCCTCTCAGTTGTCTTTATGCCCTCTGGTCAGGTATTTATATACACTGATAAGATCCCAAATCCTTTTCTTCTCCAGGCTAAACAGTTCTGGCTTTCTCGGCCTTTCCTCAGGTACTGGATGCTTCAACCCCTTCTTGATGAGGAACAGCAGTAATAGAATCTCAGTTAAATACATTCAGTATCTTTTGTAGATAAAGTACTTATGTTAGCACAACTTAACTGTTACTTTTGTTTCTGCAAGTGTTTAGACACATGAAGCTTGTTCTCAATTATAATAATATTCACTTTAAAGGCCCTTTACATTGAAAGTTTTGCAAAGGAACCATAGTCAGCTAGCAGTACATAAAGCAGTAAATTCAAATTTAATTGATTATAGAAATACCTAGTTGTATGATGCTTAGTGCTAATTGTTCCCTTTATGCAAGGTTTCCACAAAGCAAAACACAATATAATTTAATTCCAGATGGTTTATGCAAGACATTTTACATCTCAGAAGTCTGTCATTCTGGTAAACAGATTTTTCTTTCATTTGTTGCTAATCTTATACTTGTGAAATTTGAAATTGATCCAGTGTAATCTCTTAAGGCTCCAGGAAGACCACCTGCTCACTGGTCTTTTTGGATTTTTCTGCTACCTGTGGAGGAACAGATTGTTGGGTTTTTTGTGTTTTTTTTTTATAGTTTGTGTTCTTTCCATCAGTGACTAAATTTCAGACTGTGAAGTCTGTCTGTTATCTCCATTACTGTACTTACTGAGAATCCTACCCAGGTACAGTCCAGAAGGCCAGTTTTAGGCTTTCAGGAACACCTATGCCTTGCTGTCACAAGCCATGAACCTTCTTGTTCAAGTGTGTCTGCTGTAGGTGGTTGCTGACTTTCCAGTTTAGGTGGTTTGATATGGGCAAACTTTTAGGGACTTCATAATGGGAGGTACCCAAAGGGGAAATGAAAAGTCTTAATAGACAACTGGGAGGTAAGTCTTTGGCCTCAGAAAGCAGAAGGAGGAGTAGTCCATGGCAAAGCACTGATGAGCTAGCAGCTCAAAGCTGAGTAGTTCTTTTCCATTTGGTTTCCAATTCCTATAAAATAATTGCAAGACTTTTTTCTTTTTGTTCTTCCACAATTTTTTGTCATCAACCTTTACAATAATTTCTAATGGAGGCTTCTGGGAAGCCCTTCTCGGTAGGGGACTTGCCAGACAAAACACAAAATTTAACCATAACTCCTAGATCACACCTAAAATACACTAATGCAGCTTGTGGTTGACACCCTTGCTATGTATCTTCTGAAGAGAGATTGTAGCTACTTCATGTCCATTTAGTTACCAACAGGAAAAAACACAGTTGCTTTAAAAAACTCTTCCAGTGATCTGAGTTGAAGATTAGGACTATGTTGAAGTAAAATTTCTGGATATTTTAGACACAGAAGGAATTATCCATGATTAATGAATTAGTAGAGGAGCTGTGAATGCAATATTGGCAGAAAGGAATATCTGCATATCTGCAGCTATTCAGCAAGGACTTGTGTGTGCCATCTCAAACTCAAGGAATTGGATACTATGCTTATATTTAATTCTTAAACTACCTGTATAATATTCAGCATGCTTTTTACTACAATTGTTTTGAATTCAATAATATTACATTTAATTTCACCAGTCTATGTTAATTTTTATTATTTCAGAGCTTCTATGGAATTCAAGCAAGAGTGTTCTCAGCAAGTCGTCGATGACAGCAAAGTTTTCAAGAAGATTCAAGGTTTGTGTCTACCAGGACCCGTTTAATCTTAATTTCTGTATCTCTATCTTTACAGCTCAATGCAAAGAGAGATACTGATGTTATAAAGGTTTTACTAGCATAAATGAAATTGGACAAAATATAGATATTTAACAGAATATTGTTAGAATCTGATACCAGCATAAATCAATCATAAGAATATTTTCTCCTTTCTCTTTCTTTAAATAAACAATCTGGCTAACAGTAGTGGATTCACTACGGAATAATTATGAATGTAATCAATAAAATATTAATCTCTGCATTGACATAATCTCTAAAAAAAAAATGCTGAAACATAACACTGATTCTATGTTGAAGTGTCATTAAGTTAAAAAACACTCTAATTTCTTTAGTTAGTTTTGTGCCAGATATTTCTTTTGGCCATTATTTCTACATATTGGTAAGTATTGTTCTTTGGTGTTTGGTGTTTTTTTGTTTTTGTTTTTGTTTTTTTTTTTAAACTGTTTAATTATGCTTATTAAAATATGTGAATATAGTTGAGTAGGATAGCTTGGAATATGTAAATAAATGTTAATAGGATTCTACCTACAGTCTTTTGGACAAAGACATAGTTTTGTGTTTAAAATTATGGAAAGATGCTCATGCAGTGGTGTGTATTACCTTTGTAACATGTGGGCAACAAAACCTGTGAAACTGAACAGCTTCAGTTTGTAAAAATCTCCACTATTTACTGTCATTAGCTAAATCTGTTTTAAGCAAACACTCTTTGGTCACTAAAATCTGCTTGGACATTTACTTTTAGAAAAATTGTTGGACTAATGATCAGGGATATTGTTTGATCTTTTAATTAGTGCATTTTTTCCCCTCACATAATAGACACAAATGGATTTCTTAATTATCTGATTACATTAAAAGTTTGCAGATGTGGTCTACAAGAAAGTTACATGTACATACTTCAAGACATCTTTTAACATATGTCTGAGTTTGAACCTCACTGGAAAAATCTTCCTTCTTTCACCCTCCCACCTATTTTGCTTTATAATTGTCGATACGAGTAATTTGAAGATAAATATGATAATAGCATATGACTTACGTTAATAGAGTATGCTGAGAAACTTTGATATCCTTAAAGAAAACCTGCTATCTAAAGATTTTGACAAGGCTGTCATAGAAATAGTTCTCTGTGTATAATTTTGGAACAATTACTTATATTTGTTATTGTTCCCATATTTAACATGTTTGTACAATGAAGGAGCAACTGTGTCCCATAATGGCATGTTTGTATTACCCAAGTAGTATTCCTAAATTGTATTTTGAATCATGGTATGTAATGACTTCTAGCAGAAATAAGCTGTTTTATAATCTGAGCATATAGAAGGTGATAGCCATTTCTTCTGTGATCTCAGAAGTTTTGTTAGACGTTGCTGCTGCTTCATATGATTACTACTCAAATGTTAAATAACTGATAATTTTGAACTGACATTATCTCATCAAAAAGAAGGAGCCTGGGTGCATAGATATGTAATTTTAGCCAGCAGTATCATAAGTAGTTGCAGTTTTCTTCTGTATCAGCTCCATAGCAAGTGGCTAACTTCAGGTAAACGTTGTGTCCTCTATTTCTCTAAATCTTCAGGTATACTCAGAGAGACACTAAGTAAAAGAGGAGTTCGGGTTATAACAGGCATAGGAAAGTATTTCCGACAAGTAGACAAGAACAGAAATGGTTTTCTCTCTCAGGCAGCCTTTAAAGAAGCTCTAAAACTATTCCGTTTGGAAATTCCTGAAGGGGTAAGTCTAGCTGAAACTGTGATCCCTGGTATTATCTTACTTATATTGATGGAATCACTTATTTTCTTTGCTTAAGTCTATGGTTTAATAGCTGTTTTTCCCAAGTTTGCCCCCTCCCTTCTGGTCTAGTGCCATTTCTGCATTCAGTTCTTTTCTTGTGGTAATACTGTAATTTTATATTATAGCAATTATTTTATTCTAGGACATAGTGAAGAACTTTGGCAAAATATTTTTAAATTGCAGGACTTTGAATCCCTATGGCTTATTCTTGATGACAGCAATAGTGATAAAGTCGACTATGGAGAATTTACTCGTGCCGCATTTGGAGAAATGAATGAATACAGAAAAGCTTTTGTAAGAAAAGTAAGTTTTGTTGCAGGTATTCTAATTGTAGATACTTTGCAGTTTAACTTTGGAGTTAGTTACTCGTGTTCTTGTTGTTTGGGTTTTTTGTTGTTGTTGTGCATTATTCCTTTGCATTACTGTTCGTTATGTGCATCTAGTAATTGACTATTTAAGGTTTCAATGAGGTTATTAAAATAAATGTAGATTAAGGTACTGCATGCTGTTTCATTATTGAATTAGTTAATTCTAAACTCTAGAATTGATTCCTGTATTATTTTGAGTTTATGCGTATGTGTGGTATTCTTACATTTTGGTGCAGTGTATAAAGCATCTGGCACCCTGAAAATATCTCTTCCAAAAGTCTGTTTCCTTATTTTGGCAGATCACTGTATCTGTGCGCAGACTTTTTTTCCCCCTCAGTGTTTGAAACAGGAGGCAATAATACTTTCCTCCTTTGAGGAATGTAGTCATAATGATAAATGTAGTCATTATATTTCTGAGACTTCTTGTATTTGAAATGCCCCTTGTTATATGTCTATAATGTAATGTGGAGCCATTTGCAGTATGAAACACTTGATTACAAACCAGCCAGTAGAGTAATGACTGGATATCAAAATCAAGAAAAATGCCATATTCTTTCATACTTTTAATAATAGAGGATCTGACTCTCCTAGCCTTCTGTACTGAGCAATGTGTATTTGAGTAAACTGAAACGAAGCTGCTGTTAGCAGTGCTGAAAAGGCTGGTTGAGGCCTCTGTCAGAAGGGTGCAAGAATCTCTAATTGGAGAAGATAGAAGGGAAGAAGCTTCTGATTTTATAGATGAGTTAGAAATTTTAGAGAGAAGACAAAGGGTTTTTTTGAGTTGGTGAGGGGACATTTAATGTGAAAGCCTTTGAAATAAAATAATCATGAAGCTACATATTCTAGAGTAATTTTCTGGTATCTGGTGCCTTACATAAAATCGGTAAATTGACATAATCCATTGCACAAGATCTAAAAATGTGTGCTAGGTAGTAAGTATATTTGATCTTTACATTTTTCCACTTTTTTTTTCTTCCTTTTTTAGGCTTATATGAAACTAGATTTCAACAAAACTGGGAGTGTGCCTATGGTAGATATCAGAAAATGTTACTGTGCAAAGAAGCATCCTCTAGTGTTGGCAGGTAATTCACATGAACAACAACAATCTGTGACTACTGAAGTCGTCTTGTTAGCAGAGATACCAGATCCAGAAACTGGTTGCAAATACAAAGTGTTTTCATACTGGCTGAGACTTGAGGTGTTAGGGAAAACCTTTTTCCTCTGATGACCTATAATGTGTCTGTCTGGAACACGACTATAAATAGTAATGGAGTACATATATACTGCTTTAACACTTGCTTTTTATCAAGCTGAAAATACTGCATATACGCAGAGTAATTCCTTTCCCAACATGTGTAGAATTACATTTAAGCAGCTATTTCTCAGCTTGGATGTGCAAGTTATCAGTGACACATATGATACTAGTAATTTTCACTTAGGAGGGTACTTTCATTTTCATATTACTGTGTTCCATCAAAATATGCAAGGTTTCCAACTGACACTAAATATACTCAGCACTTACAGTTTCTTCTGAATAAATTCACTTATTTCTGGGACAGGATTGTCATCCTTTACAGACGAAATATTGGTTTCTTCATTATTTTTTCAGGATTCTCAAAAATGTTTAAACTCTGCCATTGAAAAAAAGTAGGAGTTTAAAAATTTATATGCCAGTTTCTAAAATAACATCTCTGTGTACCCAACTTGTCATTGTGAAAGTCTCACTAGTGTCCTGACCCTTCATGTTTTATCTGTAGAAGAATGGATGGGTTTTCTATTGGCAGTGATTTTAATGGTAACAAATGAAGACACACAGTGGTATAGGGATGTTCTGCATGAAATTTTTCCCAATACTATAAAGCTACATTTTTTTCCCTTTTTTCCTTTTTCTCAATGCTATGAAATCATGTTGAGTATAATCTTTAAGCTGCTAGAACACACACGTAAATTGCAGAACACTTTTTGAATGTAAACTTGCATCTTTTTCCTAGTGCTTTGAACTTGTATTATATGTGAAACATATGCATGTTTCAGAAAGCATATAAAACATATACTTTATTAACGAGAATTTTTGAATTATTTCAGAATTAAAATTCTAGTTAGCAAATGCATTATTCAGTTTTTGCAGTCATTTGAAAGAAAAAATCTTCACGATCTCATAATTAGTTGAAATTAGCCTCATGTTTCTGCTGATAGTTAATGCTATGATGTGCTATTAAAGTAAGAGGATTTCTGCAGCTGGTGTTAAGTGAGCCAATGACTTAATTCTGAAATCAGAGTATTAGTTCAAAAAAAAAAAATAATTTGCAAGCTAAAATTTGAAAGTTTCTTGCCTGAAGTATACTAAATTCTATGTGTTCACTGTTTGTGAAAGAGTGTTTAACGGAAAACTATACTTTCACAGGCAAAGCTACAGAAGAAGAAATTAAATCATCATTTCTAGAAACATTAGGGGAGTCCTGCAGCAACCCCAATGAAGTGTCCTATTCTGAGTTTGAAGATTACTATGAAGGATTAAGCATTGGAATCGTGGATGATGATGATTTTGTTAATATCTTAAGGAACCCTTGGGGAATTTAGAGTGGAAGATGACAAAAGTGAAGAAGAGGCATTTTTTAAATAAGGAGTGAGCTAAATATGGGAGGATTTAGTCTTGATGTGCGTTTCTTCATAATTAGTGTCTTAAACTGATTTCAGGCACTGAAAATTTTAGCTGCTTTCAGAATAATAGATGGCAAGTTTCTTAAAGTGTCCGTTGAGTCATGCTAACCACTTTTGAAATTTATAAATGCTGTTCATTCCTTTTCATTGGAAATAATGAAGACTGTTTCCCTACCAAAAGGCATAATTTACTTGATACTAGAATGAAGTGGCCTATTTTTAAATAAGGAGAAATTAGAATACTAAAATTCAGGAAGGGGTATATGTAGGAAAAAAAAATTAGTTCACAGTGATGCACTGTGAAAAGCTTTAGATTTAACTGTATAAATATCAATGGTGGTTTTTCTTTAAAAGTAATATGTTTACTCTTATAGCATACTTTGTCTCATTTCTTGTTTCTTATGCTGGTACTTAGCTTGAAAAAGAGCAGGTCATCCTTTTCCAATTTCGAGGATGTCTGCAGTACTCAAAGGGCAGAAGTGTTGACACCGTTTAGCCCTTTGGCCTGTAGACCATCTTGACCTTATTTTTTCATCTTTGTCAGGCAGCTGAAGCTCAGCATTGAATCCCAAAGGTTTCAGTGAGCACATACATATTTTGTAATGCACTTATTCCTTTCCTATATTTCGCTAGTAGTTTTCAAAACAAATAATTTATATTTAAATATCTGGTTTCTCTATTTTCTGTTGCTGTGATTTTAGTTTTTTTAACTAAAACATAGCAATGATATCTGTTGTCAAACTGATATATAGCATTTCCTATCTACTCTGAAAGTATAAAACTCAAAAGTGTAAAAACAAAACCCCAAGCCTAACCAAACCAAAACAACCACCTCTGTCACAAGAAAAAGAAAATCGTGAATTAAATATTCCTTGCTACTTCAAATATTCAGTCAGATGCATTTTTCAATGTAATACATCTCATTAATTCTGTAAAATTCTTTGTGTTAAGACATAAAAACTGTACTATTAATTATGTAGAGAGAGATATAGATGATCTTTGGTTTCAATATAACTGTCACCAAAATTAACTGTAAATGGAACTGCATTTCTTAAGCCTATGCAATTAAAATGAATTAGTATCCTCTGTGCTTGTCTGCCTGGTTTTGAATTTATAGGCTGTGGTTAACAGAACCTTCCTCTTGAGACAGTATTTGTGTTTCATAGGAATTTAAGGGCAGTGCTGAAGTGAATGCTGAAATGAGGGACTGTATTCCCTCTGCGGGTGACTGGTTTATTCTAGATAGAGCTCTTGTTTCAATAGCTTGTGTGTTGTTTTGATTGTTTTTACCCTGTCCTCAGTTTTAAGTAGAATTGCAGTTTCTGCTCTAAATCCTCAAAGGAGGGATTTGGGGGGTTCTTTTGGGGTTCCAAAAGTCTATATGTATTGGTTTGCAGAGAAAGGCAAACTCTCTGTCCATGCTTATTTTAAGCAAGAATTCTGATGTGACTCATTAAGATTTTCTTGCTCCCCATTCCTGCTGGAATTTCTCTTGCTGAAAGGATTTTGTTAATTAGTGTTCCTGGAATTGGTGATTCTGAGAAGGGTAATTTCAGCTGGGTTTACAGGGGGCTGCTTGTTAATGTCTCTCCAAATAACTGAAAAATACCAAGTGCCATTTTTATTGTTTTTTTGAAGAATCACCTGCTCTGTTTAGACTTGTTCTCTTAGGAGAGTTGTACCAACATATAAAGCTGTAGCCCAGTTTAATAAATGTGAAAGTGATTGTGAAATGAGGTATGGACACATTTCTTTTTGCAGTGCTTAATTTTATTGTGGTGCTTTTGCGTAGGTTATTCCATGTTATCTTTTGGAATGGAAAAATTGATGACTAGTGGATTTATCTTAGTGGGTCTGCTTATCAGCGGAGGCTGTATAGGTCACATCTGCTCCAAATTAAGTGGGTTTTATTTTGTTCTTATCACTAAAATTATGTACTGTTATAGGAATATTAGTTCCATAGCTTTAGTAGCCATGCTATTTTATTCTTAACCTGGAGGCAGATTCTTAACAGGGTATTCTGTGGTAAATTCTAAAGGTCAGATGTTGCCTGAAAATACAAGTAGGTGCTCTGGTAATTACGTAAAACCTTCTAGTTATGTGATTTCTGTTAACTACAAGGTCAGTTATGCATCGGTGGCTCCCTCAAACCATCAGGTTTATTGTGAATGTCAGTTGTGGTCTACACATCATCTATGTGAATAGACATCATCTAATGTGATGTCTATTGTGAATTTATAACGGAGTTCACACATGTCCCTTTCCATCTGGCCACTATTCTCATTGTCTAAACTTAAGATGGTGACAAAGAATTCCAACCAGCTTCCACCCAAGGCTGGCCCACCATGCTTGCAGTTAGTGGGAAAACACAGAAACTGTGTTCCAACCAGGGTCTGCAGTGTCTGGCTTCTTTTCATTGATAGTGGTCTCAATACGCTCATGAATTGCATTCTGATTTGTTCTTATTTACTTGTAAACATTTGAAACTTTGTAAACCTGAATCCTTTTCTTTGATCAGTGCTTTGTAGCTGTAAAACTGTCTGGGAGTTCCTACTGGGGTTTTCTACCTTCTAAATGTGTTTCAAACAAAACCTTTTCTGCATTTGTTACCTTTCTCAGAATTGCCTCTTTTCTGAATTCGGATATGTTCTTAGTTAGAAGTGGTGTTTTTGGAGAAGCTGACTGGCTTTTCTCGTGAAACTCACTGCTTAATAAAGCTAATTGTCTTCATGCCACCCTGATTTACGCTTCTGCTAAAAAGTCTGAGCAACCCACTGTAACTGAGAATATCAGAAGTGCATTATGCTGCCAACATATTTTGTACTATTAGATGCATGTGCTCCCAGAAGACAAGTGGAAATTAATGAAGTGATGTAACTCCTTATTCTCCAGGTCTATGACTACTTCATCAAATGAATATATACTGGCAATGTTATCTGGAATATTTAAAAGCATTTGTAAGAAGCAAAGCACAGACACATGTACAAACCTTCAGTAGCTTCACTTTGTCAGCTAATAGAAATATGGCACCCTCATCTGGGAGAGATTTGTTGCTGAGAGGAGGTATTAAGGATTCACACCCACAAACTCTCTGTTTCCATGAGTCTCTGCCAGATGATCAAATGTTATGGGTCTTTGAGGCCAGAGAAACAAAAAGATTAAAATCTGTCTCCTACTGTGTGTTTGTAATGGGGGTACTGTTTAGTTTTGGGGTTTGTGGTCTTTTGGTCTTGTGGAGTTTTTTTGGGATTTGGTGATTTGGTTTGTTGGTTAGGATTTTTTCTTTTTTCTATTTTTTTGAGCGTGATGTCAGTAGATAAGAAAAAAGAAAGCCTAGAACTGATTTCTTACATGTTGGTCTGTCAAGTCCATAGTAAAATAAAGCAGGTTTTTCTGTGGCAGAAAAAGGGAAGGTAGAAAATCACATGCTTTGTTTTCTGGATATTACTCTAATAATTTATCCTTCCTCTACTCTCCTTCCTCTGCTTTATACTTGGCAACTTAGAGACTGGGATAATTCTGTGCTTGCTTTTCATGTTGTTAACCATGTGGTCTTTGGGAAGCTGAGTTGGAAGGACTCTGGTAATCATGAGGCATCTGGAGTGACGAAAGAGGCAAGTAGAATTTCCTTCCAGACTTATTTAGGCTAATTTTCCCACAGAGAACATTTCAAAATGTTAACTGAACCAGAAGGTTCTTAGGAAAGAAATGTGGTAAGTAGGTAACTACATAGTGACCCTATGAAATACTTTGGTTTGTGGCTCCCATACTTTTGTTGCATCCCTTTTTGATGGTGGGGAAGCAGAGGCTTAAAGATGAGCAAGTAACCTTCAGGAAAAAATAAAAATAATCTGTTTATCATGAGTTTCTTATGTTTATTATATCATTTGTTGTCTTTACCTGGAATTTATAGTGTGTGGGTACCTGTTTTCTGGCCTCTTTTCTCCTCACTCAATTGTTACATTTTAAATGGAATTAATTGGATTTGTGCATGGGAATTCCTGTGTTTGTTGCTACTGGCAGAAATTTTGTGTGCTCAGCATCCCCAGAGAAGCAGCTTTAAAATAAAATAAATGGCAGTTTCTTTGTGGATTGATTTTGTTGATGCATTCTCATAAAAGGCATTTACTATTTCAGGATCTTTTGCTGGCTTGTGTATTTTCTAGCTCGTGTTTTTTGACCTTTTGCTGTCATTTCCCCCCTCAGTTTTAGGAGAAAATAGGAATCTGAGGGACTCTAGAAAAGGTAGGAAAAATGGTATTTCGAAGTTGTGCTATCTAGCTATCTAACTAATAAGGGTTCTTCTTGCAGAAACCTGTCACCGCTTTCAAACTGCCCTTTTGAGTAATCTCAAAGAACCTCTTTGGTGGACTCCTTACAAGTAGGCAAAATTTGAGAGGTCTTACAGAGCCGGGAGAAGTGAAGGTACTTGCTTTGGTCCTGGTGCTGCAGGACTCTCTGATAGCTGCTGCAACGGTGTGCTCCTTTTTGTAACCTTTGTTGGGAGAGGCTTATGGGAAGGAGGCTTCTTGCAGTCATTTAGCTACCTATCAATGTGCCAAGCTAGAACACAAGGACTGTCCCTCTCATGGAAAAGCTGCTCTTTATAGCAACTTGTCAAAACATCAGCCACTTAGTACCATCTCCATCCTTTCCCCATATTTCTATTTTATGCTGCATCTCTGATTTAATTGTAAGCTGGGAGTGAAACTCGGCAGGAGCTGATTAATTCAGGTTTGAAAGGGCTCCAAGAATAACTCCTGTGTCCAGGTGTCCTCTTTTTATCCGTCCCATTTCCAGGGTGGTTGTTGGTACTTCTACTCATGTTATCTTCAGAGTTTTGGCCAAGGCCATCACAAAACTCGGTCTGGGAGAAACATGCCATGGGTGATACCTGCTTCAACAGCTTTACACTTCATGTGGGGAAAACCCTAGGCTGTTATAGGGAAGCACATGTTAAAATCAGAGGAAGCAAAATAGCAGCTTTGGTTATGTATCTTAAAGCAATATTCCCTTTTCTTACAACCTCTCTCAAGTAAGTGAACACTAAATGACTCCGATGACTAATTCTGAGATCCTATGATTTGTCTTGGCATGAATTAAATCCTGCACTGATGCTGGTAAAATTATTCCCCTGAAGTAATTTCTTTTGACAGTAGTATTTGCCTTGCAGGTGCTAGTGATTAACCACAGGTTTCATTTGTGAATACTACAGTTGTTTAATCCACTAGACATTCTTGAATTATCCTTTCTCAGTGTTTCATGACCAAAGGGAACAGCAGCAGAGGTTAAACCAATGCTGCAATTTAACCCCCCCCCCCCCTTTAAAAGCAGCATTTTGGAAATGCCTGATATAGCAACGCCACTTAAATCAAGTTATAATATATTGAGTTTTATGGGTTTGATATGCTTTTGAGAAATATCTGTTCTAGACAGTATTGTTGCATAGACCCAAGTAACCATAAGGAAATAAGCACTCAGAAAAGTTTGTTTATTTAAACCAAGACAATGAGAAGGGAATCGGTTGTCAGTGCCAATAGTGACTTTTTATATTTGTTGTGTTCCTTTACTGATACCTTACCATTCTTTCAGACTATGTGATTACTAAGTTCTCCCTCCAATTTTACCTTGGTATGCCTCCAAACTCTCTTGGGAGCATCCTTCTTGGAAATGAGCTTCTTCAGTAACAGCCATAACACTAAGACTTTTTTGGAAATAAATCAAAACATGAAGTAACATTCAGCAACAAAAGTCTCTAGGGGAGAGGATTAGGAGATGGGACAGCTGAAAGCAAATGGTACCTGTGATGACATTGCTACTCTTCAATGCTTTTTGTTCATTAATATATTTTTTCACTCTTTCTTCTGGAGCGCCAGCCATGAAGAAAAGCCTACCCTGTAGTATAGGTTGATGTAAATACTCTTCCTTAACATACAATCAGAAGAAATCAGTCTGGAAGAGATTGTGCGAAGTTTTCACACTGTTATCCTATATCACCTGTAAAAAATAGTGTGTGTGTGATGTGTGTGTGTGTGTGCGCGCCTGGGCCATCTTCTCATTTGTGATGGAGACTCCACCATATTCCCAGGTAATCTGTTCTACTGCTTCACTGCGCTTCGTTTGAGAAGTAGTCCCCTACAGATTAACTTGGATCTTTCTTGTTACAGTTTAAGCAGATTACTGTTTCTGCTATCATATCCTTTCCTTATGCAACTGCATAAGGAAACTATTGCTACATCTCCTTTGATCTGAAGTCTGCTAAATATGACTGTTCAGGAAAATTACATTAACTTGATGTGTTCAGTCTATTCTCATTATTCTCCCTTAAGTTCCAGTTGGTGCATTTCTTGGACTCAATACAGTTCCCTACACTAGGCAGAATGCACTTTTTAAGGTTTTGCCAGTGAGATACTTGTCTTACAGATTTTATTTGTCTGTGTGTTTCTGCTTTTCTTTGCTGGCAACAACCTGATGTTACCAAGTATTGCTGAGGTTGCGGTAAGTTTCAACCCACAAATTTTCTTCTCAAAAACCGTTTTTTCTTGCATTATTTCACTTGAGGAATGGTGAAGTTCTGCCATACTATGAAATATGAGGAGATGTTCCTGCTGGAAAATGTGTCCTTGAGTGTCAGTTGCATGGGAGCTCTGTGCTTATGCTTCTTTTCAGATTGACGATATGCTTTCATCAGCCTTACCTGAGACTAGAAGTATTATTACTCTTTCCCAGGTGT